CCCTCCATTTTTAAAGTATTCAGTCCAAAAATGTAATAAATTTACTTGCGCATACTTATTTATTTCGTGTTAATAAATAATTGAGGTGATGCAATACACTTATGTAGGCAGTCGCAGCAGTCGAAGCCGGGCATAGCGCCTAGAGTTTCACGAACGCAAACCGCGCAACGAGTAGCTAAATGAGCCGTAGAGTAAGTGAGCCATCTAATATTTTGAAGAGGGTTCACTTACTCTACGGATCATTGTGCCAATGATCTGTAGTGTAAGTGAGCCATCTAATATTTTTCTGCAGGCTCGTATAGTATACGAGCCTATTCCTATAATTTATATTATTCATTATTTTGGCTCGTATACTATACGAGCCGATTCCTGAATTATCAAATAATTCGTAAGCTTGGCTCATAGTCACTATGATCTGTAGAGTAAGCGAACCTTCCTACTGTATTTTTAAATATAATACACGAGGCTCATAGGCACAATGATTTGTAGAGTAAGTGAACCCTCTTCATTTACTTTTTATTTTCAATAGGCTCGTATAGTATACGAGCCTGTAGTGCAAGTGAACCTTCAAATATTATTTAAAAAGCTCGTATAGTCTATGATCTGTAGAGTAAGTGAGCTGTCCCCATATTTACACTATATCTTCCATTCACTATCCGGTCACATTTGCGGTCGCGGTTGCCCGGCGACGGTGACACGAGCGGCGGGGTACATTTTGTTCCGCACTGTTGACGTGATAGACTTGTACTGGGTCTGGGTGGTTGACAGTGACAGTGTCATGATCAAGGGATGTAGTCATTGTTTGTTTACATTTGTTGTTGTTGTATACATTTGTTGTTGTTGTTGTTGTTGTTGTTGTTTGTCATTTGTTTGTTGGCTTTTTCTGGCCCTCTGGAACTCTAATATGCAAGTTTATAGAGAAGCCTAACTTCAAACCTAGGTCCTACACCCAGTCTAGAACTTTTTTAGGGAAGTCTCAAACACATCAGACCTCGGCCTAGAGACCGTGCCTGCTGCTAGGCCTATGATAAATCTTTGCACAATAAACATTCAGTGCATGCGAAATAAAACTAATGAAATCAAAATTTTAAGCATTGAAAAGAACATTGATATTTTGTGTATTTGCGAGCATTGGCTCTTAAGTGATGAAATTCAGTTTTACAATACAGTTAGTAATTTAAAACTAGCAGCATACCGTTGCAGGCAGTCAGCTACTGGTGGGGTGGCTGTGTATCTCAGTAACAAACTTGCAGGTAATTATAAACCTTTGGACTTAAGTGGTTTCTCTGAGGATCTTCAGGTTGAATTTGCAGGTGTAGTGCTGCCTAATCTTTCAATGGCGGTAATAAGCATGTATCGCTCTCCTAGTGGTAATGTATATAGATTTTTTGAATTGCTTGAACTTTGTCTAAGTTACCTTACAACCTTAGGCCTCTTTGTGGTGATTGGGACCGATCATAATATCAATTTGCTTAGCTCTGACAACTACGCGTCTGATTTTGTAAATTTGATGCGAACTTTTAATATATTCCCTTCAATCATCGAACCAACTAGGGGTCCTGCATCTTTGGACACTTTTCTAACCAACTTGGACAGTTGGGACTATGTGGCTGCGGTAAGTGTGGACAGTATTGCAGATCACAAGCATGTTCTGCTGTCGGTCACTACTCCGAATGTGGATCAACATCACCAGGTGTCCTCAAAAGTGGTATCCTTCAGAGTCTACAGTGAGGAGGCAGAATTTAAACTTATAGAATACCTAGAACTGAATGCACATTTCTGGTTTGATGAAATCAAAGCATTGACGGCAAATGATGCTTTCATGTTTTTTCATGTCAACTTCAACATGGCCTTTGATCATTTTTTCCCAATAAAATGTAAAAAGGTGCATGTTGGCAAGTCAGGGGTTTCTAAAAATAATGGTTTGCCTGTTGTTAAGGACTGGTATACCCCTGAACTCTCTAGGCTAAAGAACATGATAACTTTAGTTAATGATTTAGTTAGTGTAAGACCTGATCTGTCTAACTTGCTTAAGCTGCTTAGAACACAATACCTTAAGAATGTGAGGGATGCAAAGATCAACTCAAATGCCGCATACATAACAGGGGCTTCCAATCCCTGTAAGGCGGCCTGGAATTTAATAAATCAAAATAGACCTCAAACAAAGTCTGATATTCTTGATCCGTCTTTTGCATCTGCTGATGAATTCAATTCGTACTTTGTTGAGTCTGTTGAGTCCATCTTGTCAACCATTCCAAATATAACACAATCCTCTCCTGTGATCCTGTCAAGCATACCTGATGGTGCACCTACTTTTGAATGGAAACATGTATCGGTCCAAGACATTATTAATGCTGTTATGGGCTTTAAACTCTCTAACAGTAAAGATGTGTATGGCATGACACCTAATCTTTTGAAACACATTGTGTGGGCACTGGCACCTATACTAGCCCATTTGGTTAATGTATGCTTTTTAGTAGGTATTTTTCCTGCTCCATTAAAAGTCTCTAGAACTGTGCCTGTCTATAAAAAAGGGTCCCGTGACAATGTTGCAAGTTATCGACCAATATCGTTGATTCCTGTATTTTCTAAACTGTTTGAAGCTATTATGTTTGCTCAATTGTACGACCACCTTGAAGCACACAGCCTTCTGGTGCCTGGTCAATTTGGCTTCAGGAAAGCCAAATCCACTATATTGGCTGTTGATTCTATTGTACAATTAATTGTTGATGCTTTTGAGTCTAAGAAATCTACCTCCGTAATACTTTGTGACCTCTCTCGCGCTTTTGATTGCGTGTCACATGAAATTTTGCTCCTGAAATTGGGAAAATATGGCCTAGAAGGCAGTGCTTTGAGATTGGTCAAATCCTACCTCAGTGATCGCCAACAGGTTGTAAGTTGGAATGGTATTACATCTAAACCATTACCTGTAAGACACGGGGTTCCGCAAGGTTCCATTATGGGACCTCTGTTATTTTTAGTAACAATCAATGACCTCTATACCAGACTTGAAGGTAATTGCATGTTGTATGCAGATGATACTTCCCTTATATCATGTAAAGTGACCCGTGAACAAGCAGAGCTGTCTGTTAAGAAGATTTTTGAGTCAGCCTCAAATTGGTTTGTTGACAATAAATTAGTGCTCAATAATGAGAAAACACAGTGCATAACATTTAGCCTATGTGATTCCCAGATTGTTCCTTTCCAAGAGCCTGTCAAACTCCTTGGTATAACCCTTGACCCCTGTCTCAATTGGAAAGACCACATAAGCCAAGTCTGTACTAAACTAAGTAGAGTAGTACATCTTTTAAGACGTCTAAGTGACCAATTGCCACAGAGTACCCTTAGAATGTCCTTCTTTGCATTTTTCCAACCTCACATATCCTATGGGTTAATTTTGTGGGGCCATTCACCCAATGTCGAAAAGATCCTGCGACTGCAAAAGAGGGCAGTAAGGATTCTCTGTCATGCTCACTATAAAGAACACAGTAAGCCCTTGTTTAAGAGACAAAGAATTCTGACAGTTGTAAATATGTATATATTCCAATGCCTTGTTAGTATTAAGAACAGCATGAATGATTTACATGTAACCAGTTCAGTGCACAATCATGACACTAGGTTTAGTTCTAAGCTTGTCATTCCTCGGTCCAGGACTGATAAAAGAGCTAGGTCATACCCTGTTTCAGGAATAAAACTGTTCAATCACCTTCCTGGTCATGTGAGAAATCTGGAAAGAAAGAACTTCCAAACCGCAATATTTGATTGGCTGATTGAAAATCCTTTTTTCAAATTCAAAGAGTTTTTTGAAACTGTATTTAGTTAAGTTTTCCTCTGAACAGCCTGTTTGCTGTTTTTGCATAGTGCATGCATTTTGCATGAACTGCATTTGTTTGCTCTGAATCTTTTTGTGCATGGTCTTGAACATATTTTTTTTTCACATGGTTGGTTTTGATCGATTTTTGCTTGGTTTGATTTTTAAGTCTTGATATTTATTTTATTTTATGCTTGTACATTGACATAGCCTGTAACAATGTTGTTGTTGATTGGCCAAATAAATTCATTGTATTCATTGTTTGTAAGGGATGTTCGCTTTCTCTTTTGCGCTGTTGCCATTTTTGTGCGGTGTTGCCAGATCGTTGGGTTTCTTCTATGTCTTTAATGAGGTTAAACAAAATGGAATTATGGTAGTCCTCTTTCTTATTTAGGAGGGTGTCAGGGTTAGTGTTAATTTGCTTATAAATTTTGTAACTTTCACTATTGCAAGATTGACTATTGCAGTAGATTTGGAATTGGTTTTGTGGGGGATCTGTAATGATTCATGACTCAACTTATTTTCCAACCTAACTAAGCTGGCTGCTGTGCTCAATCAATGAAAAGTCAGATAACACAGAAAATAATAAAATATTTATTGTAAACGTGCCAAAAATCATTTAATGAATGGTTCTCCCTTACCAAGCCTTATTCAAAGCTTTTTGACCATAATGGAAACCACAAACTTTCTCCATTTTGAAGCCATAATCACAAATCACAAAAATAATTACCAACAATGTAAAAACCCCACCACTGTATTAGCCGCAGGGCTCTGTTTGTACTGAGATTAAGACGTGGGGGTAGCGGATAAGTAGGCGGCAAAGAGGAGTACACAAACTGTGCGATTTGTAGCGTAGAAAAACAATAAGAGATTACAGTTGGCAAAAGGAGTTGTCTTTGGTATCCTTATTATAGTTTACCGCCATATACACAGACTAAGCGTGCTCTTGGTATCGTCCGCAAAGAGGGTCGGATAACAAAAAAGGCACGAAATAACAGAAAATTGGATAGTTGAGTGTTACTGTACTATTGCGGCTGACTAGGCTATCTATACTTTTAGAAAATAGTCAAAACAGATAGAATTATCCTTGTCCAAAAGGTTGACAGGATTGTCTCAAATGATTACTATTTTGTTCTGTGGTACAGAAGTGTTACTCTCTTACCACTACACCACTCTCTTCCTCGTGCAGGTACCACTGTGGATCCCAGCCATTGTGATGGCAATAGCTCTCCTATTGGCCATCATCCCCTTAGTTACACAGCCTCCCCTACAGTACCTAGTAGCTCTGGCCTTCATTGGCTTTGGTGTGGTCATCTACTACCCGTTTGTCTACAAGCAGAAGAGATTGCCATACATGGGTGAGTACAGTTTGTGTAGTCCACAGCACAGGGGGGGGGGGCATTGTCACCATTATTGACAAAAGTTTAAAACACATTTTTCGTTATACACTTTTCAATCTTTTCATAGAGACTTCTGGCTTTTAGACAGCCTAAAATGTTTTGGAAAGGACATCCATTTTTACCTTACCCCTTAAAAGTTTGAGAGAGTATTGTTTTATCAAAATTTTTGAGTTTGAGTGGATATCCATTTTGGGTCCCACTGCTGAACCCAAAAAAGTGGTTTTCGATATAGACAATAGACAATTCCTTTATTACAATTTCATCAAGAAATGTTACAGCGTCATGATATGATACCTGTATTGTATGTATGTGGATATGTACAGAGCTACAGATCACACCTGTTGTCCGATTGAGATTAAATTTGGTATGTGGGGTACCCAAAGTCCAGGTGTTTTTTTTTTCAATTTTTTTTAATGTTGAAAAGAATTGTATTTTTTAAAAAAGCTGTAAACAATTTTGATTCAAATAAAGTATGCTATAGCTCTTTTAGTTCTGAACAAAACAGTACAACCCCAACTGCAAATATTCGGTTCAAAATTTATTGCAGCTAGAACTAATGTGATTTTACCGATAAAATATCATAATTACTCCCACCGCTTACCCAAATGTTGTTGACAAGCTAATGGGAGAAAGTATGTGTTAGATTGCTGATACCATTTTTTTTTTCACAACGCTACAATGTTTTTAGTGTTTTACAAACGTTAATGGCTGAAAGCTACATATTGCTGTCCATGCCAGTTGTCATTTGTGGGCCGAGCAGGTTTTTACATCCCTAGGAAAATCAGCTGTTCGCTTACTTAAGCATTGCAAAATAGACTTGTTTTGTTGTCACCGCTGCCTAGCAACTATTTATTACGTATTCTTTTCCTTTGTTTATTCACATAACCTTAAAGTTTTAGTTGTGTTGACAATTAGTGTGCATTTATTGTATGTTCTCAATTTTCTTTAAACAAAATAAGTGCTTGCCTCTCCTTTAAAAAACACCCTTCCACTTTCTTTCCTAATGACTATAGTACCTTCTCTTCTTGAGTTTGACCAAATATAATTACATACAAATTTATAATTTAATTATTTTGATTTATGAAAAACAAAATTAACTGAAAGGACTACTATTTACCACTGACAGCCATAGTCAGTATAATAATAGTAAGCAAGCATACTAGTATAGTAGTAAGCATAGTAGTAATTTGTACTATAATAGATTGAATATTGTAAGAGAACAAGATAATGAAAAATGTTTCCACTTAAAGGACATCAATGTTTCACTACTGTTATAATCCTACACTTTTCCTTTCGTTCCAGATGCATTTACTTATTTCACACAAGTGTTATTCGAAGTAGTTCCGACGGCAGATCCCGATGTGTTATAGCATCACAAACATCTATGGATGTGCGTAGATTTTAACAATAACTGTTATATACTTTGAAAATATTTTTCTAACAATTACAAGAGTTTTAAATTGTACATATAGAATAAGTAAGCCAGTCTGTATCTAAATGTATATATTCTTTGTAAATAGCTCTTTGTATTGCATCTATTTACGTTGGTTTAGAAAAAAATTGTGTTAGCAGAAAAACAATGATTAACTATTTGTAAACCACCTTAAAAGATTTTCTATCTTTATTATTATTGTTAAGGATAAAATGTTAAGTCTAATTTATATTTATTATTTACTATTCAAATTCACCTTTTAGTTTCCTTTTAGTATGACTGTTCAAGTACAATAAAACCACCTACAAATAATTAATGATGAATATAAAGTTGAAAATTACAATCACAATGTAAAAGAGGTCATGTAAAAGTAAATAAATGTATATAATTCTGTTGTACTCCCAGTGTCTTCCTATTAATATATTCATTAATTCTTCCCGTGAATAGGTGTTGATTGGGCAATCCTAAGAAAAATCTGCATCTTTCTGAGGGCTCAAAAGTGGGCCCAGATGTGTTTAATCGTTTTATCATTTTATTTATATCCATTCATACTTGGCTTAAAATACCTACTTTGTATGGTCGCCATTTCATCAAAAAGTATTAAAGTATTGGGCTTTCAATATGGTCATGACTAAAGAAACAACTAGTATTAGTCAGTAATAACATTAACAAATAGAATTAAATATAGACCGACAGCAGTGCTGAGGTTAGCATAAGTTACGTAACTACACGGCACTCCTAGCGGTGGACGCTGTTGTCAGTCTATATTTAATTCTATTTGTCTATGGTAATAAATTACTATCTATACTACCATATGGGTCAAAATACAATTAACTGTGTTTTTATTTTAATAAGTGATAATAAAAGTAATTGCTTGGAAAAAGTTTCAACTTCCAATAAAAAAGAACTGTTTTTTTTTCAATTTTGAGTGTATTTATAGTATTGTGTATTTATAGTACATAGTATTTTCTGACGCATGTACTGTTCCCAACAAACATGTCAATAATAGTTATTTGTGCAACTAGTGAGAAAAGTGAGCAATTGACTCACTCGAGAGAAATCCTTACTCACGAGCCGTAGGCGAGTGAGGAATGGTTTCTTGAGTGAGGCAATTGTACTTTGAACTCGAGTTGCACATTATACTTTTCCTACAGTTAGTACAGTTACCATAAAACAAATAAATTGGTGAAGAAACATAACCTATTTTTACACAGAAGTGAACTTTTAATATAACATTTAATGTGAAGTGACAAAAACAACAGTACAACAATTGACCAGCTGATTTACAGCCAGTGCTGCCAATGTATTTCGCGCGCATACGACGTTGCCTGCATGTTACGCGCCCACTATTTCGTGCCTTCACGTTGCAAATCTGGAGTGAGACAAAGTAATTAGAGTGAGACAATGTTAACATTGTCTCACTGATGAGCGAATTGGCCACTTTGCTTTCTCAAATCAGTGAGAGAACATGTACATTGTTAGGTAACTGTAGGAAAAGATTATTGTCTATTGTCTATTGCTGTCATAATATAAGTGCAATTGGATTTTTTTACTAGAAGCGGTTAAGGTGTGGTGGACTATCTTTGACAATGAACTTCTATGTCTGTAGTGCAATCATGTGTTCACGGCATTCATGCTTGTCAAATTTTGAGGTTAAATCAAAACAAATATACTGACATATATTGTCTATTAGCGGCCGTGTTGAATTACATACTAAAGAATGTTAATTTTATAATAAATTAATTAATTTAGTACATTTGATTATTAAAATTATAAAAAACGCTATACTATAAAACAAGGCTACCTTGAGGTTCATCTAAAATTACTTCGAACCAGGTAAATCAGGAATAAAACCCAAAACTCTCTTACAAAAACAACTTTATTCATAACCCAAAATCGTCCAAACGATACATAGTATAACAAACACCATAAGGTTCAGTGCATGGAAGTATTTGATTTGTGATGTTGAAATAAATACAGTACCCGGTACACCAATTTGTAAAAAGAATCTCTAAATCCCAATTTTAAAAGTCATCTTAATCTTACCTGGATTCAAGGCCATAGGCCCTTTCAAACCATGTTATGGCCCACATTATTGCCAAACACAACAGTTCACCCTGACCTACTTAATGCCACAGCCTTATGTAGGTCAGCACAAGTTTTGTTTTTCCAATACTTCCAGCTGACACACTCAACATTGCCAAACACTTCCTCTTTACCATCTGACCCCTCCTACATTATACGGTTGAATACTGTTTTCTTCTTCGATTACAACTTCTTAACTAAAGGAAACTGAAAGGGTAACTTGTCGGAAACTAAAGCAGCTTAATAGAGTTACCATATCATAAGCTACAAGATACTTAAATACCTCGTTTCTTGTCCAATCTACTATCACAGTAGTTTCTATAAAAGAGAGAACTTAGGACCTTAATAAAAAACTGTAAAATAGGTTCATTTAGTTAGCTATATAGTTACAACTGACTGCAGTAGATTGAAAATACAATGTCTAATTCAGTATAGGAAAAAGCCAATCAACAAATCGTAACATTAAAATAAGGTTTGATTTTCCCATTTACCTTCCTTATCAAAATAATTACTGAAATTCTAATATTTGTTAACCTGGTATTTTTATTATAATATAAAAATGCTGTACAATTTAGGTGATTTATTAGCGCCCAACTATTATTTGAATTCACATTTTTTTCTCAGAGAGAAAATTACTGAACATTTAACTCTGATTAATGAATAACTAAAACCGGGTTCACTCTTACATTTTACAAATACTTTGCAACCCTCAAAACGTAACCTATTTAGTGTTTGGGAAAAATTAAACACTAAAATCAACTTTTTAAATAAACGTATTGCCTAGTTATGATCAGGTACAGGATTAAGAATTTGTACAAGATAAATCAACGTGGAGTCATGTAAGATATTGTACATTATTAAATGGGATTTAAAGCAAAACCTTCCCACAAACGACTTATTCTAACATATAACAACCTTTCAATTGCACTTATTAGAAAAAATATACAACCAAAGAGATTTGAATTACTGTAGCCAACATACTAAGAGCAAATAATTATTTTTACGAGTTGAAAATACCTATTGCTATTCAGTGTCAGGGATGAATTAAAATTTGATCTAAAATTTGATGAAATGAAAACACAAATGTGTTTAGAATAGGTTATTATGCAATTGTTTCTTAAACTTAAACATAAAACAAAAAGAGAAACATGAAATCAACCACTTTCAGACAAAGGTTTTCCTCTCAAACATTGAACAGAAAAACCAAAAGGTTTCCAGACAAAATATTGATTGCCTTAATATACTTAACAAATAAACCGGGAGAAAATAACACAAATTTGAACCTAAAACTAAGAAAACAAATAAACACAACCTTCATTTGAACTTACAAGAACTACAACTTAAAAACAGAATTGCTGTACTTAAGTTACTAAAATAAATAAATCACTGTTTCAAGCATGTGAAAATCCCAGTGTTTGTCAACTGAAATATACAATACATAATGGTTAGAATACTTATGAAGAATTATAAAAATAAATAACAATTAAATTGTATTGTTACCTTATAACGAAAGTTAAGGAGCATTGACAATTTGAGAAAAGTACTTTAATAAATAAAGTTGAGTAAAATTAAATAAGCGTCAAAGTTATTGCCTTTGGAAGAACCCATCAATAAATTCCTTGTACATAGGGCATATTACAAATGTGATCAAAAGTGTGTGTGGTTTTTTTCTGTGAGTATAACACAAAATGTAAAGGACCTCTACTTTTGTCACCAATACGTTGTTGGCATTACTCCATACCAATTTCATCTAAAATACAAATAAATGTTCTGAATGTTAACAACTTCTTGTCATTAGTGGATTTTCGTCCTTTCCCAAAGTAGCGTTTGGATCCATAATTAATGTAAAAGTTGATTTTAACATCATACTTTGAAAAATATTATTTAATTTGACACAAACGCGAATGGACCTTTACGAGATACCGTAGGCCTACTCAAACAAAAGTAACGTTGAGAGCAATAAATTAACAATGCAACCTGAAACCAAGCGTGTGTACTATTATGTATTAATCACAGTAAAACTAAAGTTTAGTTAACTTTGTACTAACAATGTCCAACCAACAACACAACAAATAATTACTAAGGTAATCCATCTACTTAAATAAGGTACAAATTATGATAATGTTTTCGGTCATTAGCTTTGCTACACAAAATAACTATGTTTGGTATCAACATACGTAACGTAATAGTACTGGCCACTAACTACAAAAGTGTCTTATGGTTTGGAAAGTAACTTAGTTACAGTGTAGGAACAACTAGTGATGTGGTGCTTGCGGTTTTTATCAAACTAATGTTTCTTTGTGTGCTGGATTCAATTCTGTAAGATAAGAGTACAGAATATCACAGTAATTTTGAATATTGAATGGATTTGAGGGATTAAACATGTAGGGAAATTCAAGACTCAAAAGTGCACGAGTCCTTATTTTAGTTTTTGAAACCGGATTTAAATGATTTTGGATTTTTTCAGAAAGGAATTTTAATCGTATTGCTGAAGACATGAGTGAAGTTTATGAGGTGCTATGTAAACTTCATGATTGCATGAGATGATCACAATCGTTCAGGTTAAAGTAATTTGACATCCATTATGAATGCACTTTATTTAAATTCAGTTTATCAAGCTAGCGAATAAGCCACTGACTTTCCACTTATGACAGCTTATGAAAAGGCGATAAAATGCTCTACAATCACCACATCTTTGATGTGCAAAACTAATTTCATCCAGTTTTTTACAGCCAAACACCTAAATCACTTTCATTCTAAGTTACTTTGGGTAAACTTATTTTTAAATGCATTGATTTTTTTCTTGTTTTTAAACAATTAACTTAAAAATCATGGTATGTAGTTTAAATTGGTCTTTCCATTACCACCTAGTTGTATAAATTTAGAGAACAAAACTGAAAAAGTAAAAGATTTCCTAAGAAAAAATTTAAAAACTGCTGGAAAGATATTGAAATCTAGTCTTGCCCTCACTAAAAATGAACTAATCTAACTAGATAAACCAACAACCACCACATCACTAAAACAACATTGGATGAATTCATCATCTAACATCATAGGCCGCCATGGAAATCACGGTATGCTCTTAGAGCTCAACCATAAGTGCTTAAAACCTAAAATAAATAGTTAATCCTAGTGAAAAGTGTATAGGACAGACTAGTGAAAGGTTTTGGTGAAAAAACTAACAATTTAGGCTATCAACATTAGAATCCCAACATGAAGACTTTACGCACAACATGTAATTTCCTTTTCTTAGTTCTACTAGAGTGACATGTTTGGATTCCTTGTACTGGAATTGCTTTCTTCTTATTGGCTTTCTCCTCCAAAAGAACAAATCCTTGATGTTTTTTGTGCAACATTATTGATTCAAATGGGATTTTCTATTATTTCAACTTGTAGCATGTTCAATTTGTAGCAAACAAGACCAGATACAGGAAAACCTCTTTTAAACACCCCCGGGCGTTAAACTGCAACCCATGTTAACCAAAACCATAATAAAAAATCAAAATTAAAGGGAAATTAGCTAGGCAACAGGAATTGTCTACCGTGATGTGGATAGTTAACAACTGCTGTGAAGATAAAGTTCAGAAAACAATTGTTGATTATTTATTAAAATAGATTTTGTGTGTGCAGCTGTAGATTTTAAGATGGCAGTAATAAAAAAAAACGTTACAAAAGACTCCACTCTCAAAGGCTGTTTGATTTGAACTGAAATAGCTTTTAAATTCCAACCATTGATTAGTTGAAAAAATAGGTAACCCCAAACAGCCTCACTCCCTTTATTTTGGTTAGTCAAATTTTGCACCAATCCTGTTGTAAATTGTGTATGCATTCTTCATAGAGAAAAATACTATTTCACCTGCCGACTCATAAACTAAGCGTAGACCAGTTGGGATTCTAGATTTAACCTTAAAACTACTTAACACTAATCTAAGAATGTGTGCCAAATACTGTACTTAGGCTAAATCAGGTCCCTGGTGTCAAGAGATGGGAGGGTCAATAGTTAGTAGTTGTCCTTTGATGCCGTGTTCTCGGATTGCACGGAAAAACTGCAAGTAGTGGTGTAGATTGTGACTGAAAAACAACAAACATGAAATGTAAATTATGACCATCACTCACAAACTTAAATGTATTACAGTAACTTGACAATCAGCTGTTTACAAACCCAACAAAGGACTGTTGTGTAACATTTTCTTTCACAATTGCTGTATATACTACAAATAAAGGTTACTCAATATCTAGTGACACACACTCAAATGTAACCGCTCAAATTGTAATCCCAGCAAGCAAGACACACTAAAATGACACTAGCTAAATGTATTTGACTTTGTCACTGATCAAATAGGTTTGAATTTGAGTGAGGTTGTTAACTTTACTATAACGTTGGAACAACTCAAGGTCCTCTCATCTTTGTAAAAGTCCCCAGGGGACAAAGTATTTTGAGATTTCTGTGCCCTGTATGTACTATGAGATGACATACCTGGACTTTTTCAAAGGTACAAGGTACACTACAGCTTCTAGCTATCCCTGCTTCTAAAAATCACAAGCCTGGCCTAAAGCCTTTCCTCAATGAAAAAAGTTAGCCTAAAAAGGAGACATTGATAAAACAAAATACTCTTGCCACAGCAAACTTGCAGGCTAAGCGAATTTCAATTTGATTAGATTTTAACTTGAATATTTCCATAAACAAGACTTATTTATTCCCCGTTTGATTTAGCGAGTACTTATTTTTGGTGCTATGGGGAAGATAAAGAACCCGTGCAAGGGAGGTAAGTGATAGGACATTGAGATCCTAGACTGACACTTAGCCTTTGGCAACTGTCGACTCACATCATCAACAATACGGAGGACAGCATTTCCTTGGTATTCAGTAGGTGGTGGATGTACGCTCGTGTGTGTTTGGTGCAAGTTAGACACCCGCAGTCTCGGCTGATCGGACTGAAGTCATCAAAATACCTGATGAAACAAAGCAATACGATTAGGAAAATGATTTGTCAAGTTAGAAGTGTTAACTGGAACATTTTGTGTCCTATAAAATTTGTCTATAAATAAGGTTCAGCCTAAAAGAATTTTCTTCTAAAATTTACAAGAAGCTGTAGCCACTAGACAAGATGCAACCTACGAATATAAAACCCTCAAAACCAAATAACTATGGAATAGTTAGACTAGCCTATATATCAAAAAATTGAAAAACACAAAACAGAGAGTAGTAAAAGCTATAGAATTTTAAAATTTAATCCTACTTACCGTTTATCATTAAGATTTATTTCATAGTTTCTACACAATTTTCTGCAGGTCTTATCAACAGTTATAGGTTCCGTGAACGCTTTTCTCTTCTCATTCTTGTGGTGATGCGTTCCATTAGTGAGAGGAACACCATTAAATTCTCTGAAAATCAGAGAAAGGATGGACGTTGAATGAATGATATGATAGCCTTGTTACTGACGACAATCAGTAGTTTTTTCAATAGAATAATTTATTTAAAAGCATAATAATCAGGGACAGCTAACATGTCACAGGATCAAATCCGCAACTTTAATATTTTTCATGTCCAGGAATACTCCTAGACAGTATACTTCAGCTAATGGCCTTCTCCAATACTGTTCTACAACCAGTAAATAGATAGTACGGTGAAATGTGCTTAGTTAAAACATCCCTAATTCAAAATTTTCCCTTTTTCAAGTTGAAGTTGGGTTTAACAAGATCAAAGTGACCAAAAACTGGCAAAAAAACTGTGTTTTTCCCCTTAGAACACTAGGCCGCGGTCATTTTTCACATTACTTCAGGCTAGATCTGGGGATTGCAGTTTTATCACTTCGATCAAATTTGGTGTGATTTGAACTAAGGACCTCAGGGATCGAAGTCCTAAGCTGTACAACTATACCAACTTGCTTACCGCTAAGGGCGCTAAGTGTTGCAATACTTTACTTTACTTTGGAATACAGCCTAATACAGTGCACCACATAACCCAGTCAGGGTCATTGCCTTCACCACTCTTAACGTCCGGTCACCTCCCGGCCTGTCAAACTCGCTACCTACCAACCCTTGTCCAGTACAGTTGATATCAGTGAAATCAAAAGTATGGCTTATCCATTTTCAAATCCTTCATTACCAAACTAATCTAATTCAAGTTTAACTGGTCCTTCAGTGATTAAACTATCCAATTCCCACAGTAAATAAGTCCAACTTGTATTTTAGCAATGCAAAATAATTATTTAAAAATAAAACAACAATGTTAACCCCACCTGGTTGAAAGCACCTTGTAAGTGAACGTGAGGGCCGAGCCGCGCTCTACTGCCAGATACACGAGGGAGGAGTCAAACACGTCTACACCTGCGTTGACCAGGTCTAGCACCACGTCCGGCCGCCACCCGCCGTGAACAATCCTCAACTTGTCTTCTGGTAGGTGCTTCTGTTATGAAAATGAATTGTGAATCTCACTAAACAGTTGAATATTAGTAATCCATCTCATTTGGGGACGGGGCCTCGATTGTGTCAAGTTCAGGATTACTTGAGGCAAATATTAAATGACATAGACAAGTCCATAACTAACCTCAAAAGTACACCTACAATTTCAACAGTCTAGTAAAGTCAATAACAATAATTTACATGTTGAAAATATTTCTGCACAAGGGATATAATATGACATAATCAAAACACTAATTTTTATTAGACAATTGGACAAAAAATTCTTATTTCAACAGAAAAGGATGTTCTACGTGGCAAAAAGCATGCACTATTTCTCTTGTGCTTATTTCAGTCATATTGCTGGTGAAACTGTATCAAATTATATAAGCTATCAGACAATGAGGACAGAGTACACTAAAACAATTAAATGTACATGGTTTAAGACCTAGGTTCTAGGATAAGATATAGGTAGATAGTTAACAGTATATCTAGGGGTATGTCGCTCGCTACCGCAGTAATTGGTGTCTTGGGTTTTGGTTCATGAGTGATATGATCAATCGCCACCTTATCTGAAAAGAAATTGAGAGGATTGAACTGCTAAAGAGTTCTTCAAACTTAGACATCAACTAACAACCTTTGTTATGCAGATGATAGCTTCACGTTCAGTACAGTTCTTTTTCTTCAATGACAATGGGTAGGATATGTGAAATCAAATAGTTCTTTTAACAATATTCTGAATAATGAACAACCCAGGCAATCAATTGACACTAAAGCTTTCCTATGATTTAACCACTATCAGGATAATTTGGTTTCACACTCAACCTTAGAGCTTCACAAAAAAAGATAGATGTGTACAAAATAAACTAATAAATAGGTTAAATTAAACCGATTCATGACTAACTAACCAGTGTTTCATTGATGACTGGTCTGATGGTTTTGTAGCTGATGTCTTCAACACTTGGTCCGTTGTTGTGTAAGCCGTCAATGACGTAACCTTGAGCTGCAGGACAGGCGGCCATCTTGCGAGCTGCGTCCCTCCTAGCACTGAGCTCATACCCTCCCTCCACCACACCCAGCAGCATACTGTGCTTAAGACTCTGAATAGAACACAAGCGTTAGTATAGGGAAATAAACATATAGGCCTAGGTCGATCTATATCTAAATAGTTGAGAGGGCATTTCAGCTCGAACGAGTGGTCTTTGAGGTGTTGATCGTTCCGATTTTAATTAATGTCCTGAATATTTTAGCTGGTCATAAATAAATCTACACAATTTGGGCATCCCAGCCATCCCAAACCCACACTAATCTTTCATACTTACTTGGTTTAAAATATGCCTTGCTGTGTCACCATTTGTGTATAAGAGTAACAGAAAATAATTTAGTGGACAGATTTATAGAATTATATATTGGTCACCTCCGATTGGGCGTGTCGCTCGGCACATGTTCTAAACATTGACCCCGTCACGTTCAATGTCTTGTAGGCTCGTTTCCTCGATGAGTTCTTGTTGGTGTCACCATCGCAAAGCGAGTGATACATGTCCGGCTTGAAAGCTTCCATCATGTCCATGTATCTGCAATCACAACAAGCTTATATGAAAATAGTAGGTATTAAAGATTCAAAATTATTTTTATTGGAATTACAGGCACGGAAATGCTTCTGATATGTAGCTGAAATGAATACAAGCTATCCCTTTCTACTTCGGTTATTCCCAGATCCAGTCAATTAGGCTAGTCTATCTTCTACTATCAAACACACAGTTGCTTTTTTCCGTCATCTGCTATCTCACTCTCATCTTCTCCACGCCATTCCTTCTTATCCATCCATTTTCGTCCAGCCATTTCCTTACCCCTAATTTACTAAGAAATACCCCTACTTTCGTGAATTCCAATTTACTAAGAAATCTCTCTTCTCTCACATGTCAGAACCATCTTAAAGTAGTTTTTTCTTATCCCTCTTAAGATTTTAAGCTAAGGAGTTTGAAAACCATCCTCGGAGGAAAGTGAGATAAAACAGCTGTCTAGAATAAAACAGAACGGAGACAACTAAGCTGCTAATATTTAGATTGTAAAATAGAATATTTCCTCACTAACTTAGGGCGTGAAGTTGTTCTTTTCAACCCGAGCTCATGTCCCACAATTGTGGTAAAACTGAGGTTGGAAAATTTTGCTCGTGAGGGTTAAAAAAATACATTTTTCCCGTGTGATGAAACAACTTATATTTTTTGTCATATTGCGTCATTATTTAGCAAAATAAACTAGAAAACAAAAATACTTTTCATGTAGGCGTAAAGATAACCTCTCAAAACAACTAATGCTGATAAGCAGCAAAGCAGCTGTTTAGTAAGTGATTCCATCATTTCGTCAACTACGATTGTATTAGTGTTAATTTACTATCAATATGACGTAAACTATTGACAATTATGCAACAATAAGCTACAACTGATGAAATCAATAGTAATTTCATAGGCATCCTGTAGCCAACATTTTGGGGGGGGGGGGGTCACGCACAACTTATCAGCACTATGAAGTCTAAAAATAAGCTAAAATATTGTATTTTCAATCAAAATTCTAAAAATTTTGGCACCTATAATTTTGATACATTGCTTACAACTCAAAGTTTACAACTAGCTCAGCTTACAACAGCTGACTTTTACTCCCAAGTAAAAGAGCCACTCTAGACCTGCAACGCATGTGTTAAGCCGCAATATGACAAAAAATTGCTTAGGCTACACGTACACACTTATGGCATCAGAATCTGGTTGGCCCATTACATCATATTTAATCAAAACAACAAACACATACTTTTCTGCTGATAATTGTTGTCTTCCGATATTCGTCCATATACTGATGCTGGTTTTCTCATTGTATCCACCTCTAGTTTCTTCAGCAGGATCTTGGACTGAGCAGTATGTCAAGCATTCCTGTTGATCAGAACAAATTAAAGTTTAGGCTAAGATAAGGCAGTTGATATAACAGTAGAGTTTCAATTATCTGATCTTTGGTAATTCTACTGAAGGCCTACCTGCAGCCAATCAATAACTGTGAAACTGAAAACATGGGATATTTTTGACTATACACCAAGGCGTCAGGAAACCGCCTTTTCTACCTATTCGAATAGAGGAAACCTGAAATGAAATGAAATGAAATATGCTTTATAGTCTTTTGAATTTGTACAAATTATCGACAATGTCAAGATACAGCTAAAATTATAGCATAGTCAGTTAATTAATTAATAAAATACTTATAGCTAACCAAACAAAGGCCTTATTATAAAGACATATTATAATACATATTCTAAATAAATAATTACAACTGAAGAATCTTATTCTTTAAAAAATCTTCCAAACTATAAAACGGGTTATTGTGGTTCAAAGGATAGTAGGCCTTAAGCCTATTGTTTTATTTTACATTTTAAAGTTAACCTACAGTAAACTTACAGTAAAGTGTTTTTACATTGTCAGTTATTTTTCTTGTAATTTGGGATTATTACTTCAAACAAATCTTAGACTAGGTTTATGGTTTTGATGGAAGACAAACACAAAGACTCAAGAATGTACGTTTTACAACATCTTGTAGCTATCAAATTACGAAATAGGCTACATACTCACATCCAAACCAGCAAATTTAGATATCCCTCCTTTGAAATTTTTAATACTGCTACAGCATTTAACACTGTTAGACAGCGGCACTTGTACAGCTTGTGATGGTACATCAGCAACCATCTCTAGAACTTCTCGAGTCAGATGCGTAACACTTCCACTCTGAAACAATCAAATTGAAAGCTCGTAAAGACTTGTGATAGAGTTGAAGGAAAACCAACCAGACAGGTTTATAATGGTGGAATAGGCCTAAATAGGAACTTTAACAATATTTTAATTAATGTTAGAACAGCTATAGCTAACCTATAGGAAGTTTTTGTTGCGTAGGCCTAGGCGATCTTCACTAACTTTATCTTTATGCTGATGACACCAATTTGAAAATCACTGCATCAACCGTTGCTGAAGTAGAAATTAAAATTAATTCCGACCTAACTCTCTTAAAAAATTTTTTTAATGCCAACAATTTGCTTTTAAATCCTGAAAAAACTAATATTATTTGTTTTAAAACTCGATCAGCTCAAAATATAACTCAACCTAATGTTACCATATTTGATAAAAAAATTGAGGTTAAAGACAGCATAAAATTTTTAGGATTAGAAATAGAAAGTACACTTAAATGGAACCGTCATGTTGAACAATTACTCACTAAAATTTCTTCTGGCCTTTATGCATTGGTTAGGTTGAAAAATTTTTGTGAAAAAGACTCTCTAAAAGTTGTTTATTTCTCTTACATCCATTCAGTGATATAATTTGGGCTATCTCTTTATGGTGCAACTACTAAAGAAAACTTAAACTCTATCTTGATAATGCAAAAAAAAGCCATTAGAATTATTCGTAATTTACAACCCAGAACTTCAGTTAAAGATTATTTTAAATTAGAAAACATAATGACTGTTTATGGGATGTATGTTTTTGAAACTGTTTTATCCATCAAAAATAGATTTCAGGAATTGGAGCTAATCGGTAACAATCATGAATATAACACCAGAAATCGGGGCTGTATCGCAATGAGCTATCACACTCTGGAACTTTTCAAAAAGAAACCTAAATATGCTGGTTCAAAATTTTATAACAAAATTCCAAAAAGCATAACAGATGAGGTGTCAACCAAAAAATTCAAAATTAAATTGAAGCAGTACCTCATCAGCAAAGCTATATATTCTTTCGATGAGTTGTAGGAGGTAATGTTAAACTTTGCATAGCCTATATTGTTAATTCTAAGAAACCTTTGTTTTTCATTTTTCAATACCTGTATATTTGACACTATTTATGTATGTATTGTATACTACTAACAAATAAAGATTATTTGAATTTGAATTTAACTTAGATTGTGAACAATAACACCACATAGACTAGTATGGGTTTGATCAGGGTGTCCGCGACAGCCTCGGAGCGTTATGTGCCTCACAAATCTATTATTGCGGCCCAATTTTGTTCATTCAAGGCTTCTACTGTTTGTTTCATTGTTTTATTAACTATTATGGGCATAAAACCTAGAATATTTTAGTTTTGTTATGTATGTACGTCTCCTTATTAGGCTACCTACCAAGAAATACTCTTCTGTAGGCCTACCTGTATTACGACAAGCCGAATTGTGCAACAGTTACTAGGTTTATTGGTTTATAAGTCATAGCCTGGCAAAAGTTTTGGTCTATATTGCTTAACTTACTCAAACAGTTTTGCCGGGTACCTAGTTCAGTTGTTTAGACAATAACTTAACCATGTTAGCCTACTCTCTTCGCTTGACCTGAACTTGTGACGGCGTAGCAGACTAGCACTACGCAGCACAGTATGAGTATTTTTTTTTGTGTTTTATTTGTAGTGAAGTAAAGTGACGTCGCGAGGCCTATTGTCGATGACAGAATCGGAACTGCTACAGACTGATCAACCTGTAGTCCTCATGATACAAGAACAAACAGTCCTCGTCAGCAAACAATAACTTAAGTTACAACATTTCAAGTCTTGTCGAGGTCTTTAATCATGATTAGGAAAACACTGCCCAAGGACAGACCTTTGAGGGACTCCATAAGCTACCTCTAGATAATATGACATAGGCCCTACATAACTTAAAAATGCTTTGTTTACAATGAAATGTCCAATCAGTTTGGCTAGTTAAGTTAATAAGTCAACACGTTTTACAGAAATTTCGTTATTTATCTAACTTACATCAGCACACTTTGTCTGTGGCTCAATTCAACTAGCCTACATTCAGTTGCATTCTTATATTGACCACAACTTTTTGCATGAGAATGGAATGTCTCGAATATGCCTACCTTTGAATACAGCAAGAGAAGGGGTGTTAGGAACACAGAGTTTGGAATCCTGTAAAATTCACTCAATTTTCCAGTTCTCATTTTGCAGTTTGGAATGTCTGTTTCAACAGGGTTATATGTAAACTTCATTTTTCAAGAACTTAAAACGCCCGAGTTACCTAGGTATATGAAAACTAATAGAATTGGTCTGGCTTTTGAATTTTTCAAAATATGAAACACTTTTGAACACAGAAACCTAGGCTTAAAGTTCTATCCATGAATAGCTTAGACCAAAGTATTATGTAAGTAATTTAGTTATGGTGAGTTTTGAACAAGTTACGAAAACAATAAGAAAATATTTCTAAATTTTCTTCTGTGTACAAGTCTCTTTATTGACTTCCTAGCACAATATGAATAAATCAAATCTCATTATTTATCAACAAACAACTTATAAACACGTGTGCCGTGACACAATTTTTACTGCTGGCTGGTCTTTGGTCTGTTGACTGTTGTGTCGTTCCGTTCTGTCTTCTGTCTGCTCCGCTCCTGCTGGCGGTGGGGCACACGGGAGATTTCTCAGGTGCCGTTTGACGTCACTAACTACTGCTGACGTCACTAACTGCTGCGTCTGAAGAAACAGACAATTTTATAATTTTTCTATTATTAAATTAAACTGTCATAACCTAACCAAACTAACCAAACGTGCTGATAATGGAAAAATCGAATGAAGGTTTACTAATCTAAAAAATAGTTTTGTTTATAAAATAAAATTATAAATGCCTAAAATTCAATTTTATAATTTTTTAATTATAAAATTAAACTGTCATAACCTAACCAAACCAACCAAACTTGCTGATATGAAAAAAATTGTTGACAAAAAGTTAATGCTACTAGCGGGATTCGAACCCGGTATGTTCGGATTAACAGACCGCCACGCTATCCACTACACCACCGAGGCCGATGGCTGGATTCGTATCGTTGCGGTATTGGTGTTCCCTTTAAGTGACATCAGCAGTTAGTGACGTCAAACGGCACCTGAGAAATCTTCCGTGTGCCGTCTCGCTCCTGGGGCCCTATTTTTGAAATGGTTGACTGTTGAGTCAATCGTCAGCACTCAACTCAACCAACAACATGATTTGGTATTTTTGAAACCCAACAGTTGGGAAGCGAGTTGGGAATCACTAGTTGAGAGACTCGTGGTGGAAATGTAGAACATACGACCGTCAAAAATTCAGATGACGTCATTTTGAACCAATCACAATGCAGAGTTCTTGTGGACTTCAATTTAACCTCTTCTTACTCTAAAATCTGGCAGCTAATCTCAATCTGCCATATTTCGAGACACTGAGGTAAACTGTCAACTCCGTTCTTGAGAGATTGAGGTTATGTCTTGCTTAATCTTAGTGATTGCAAAGTACCTTAACTTAAGTAATAAACTAAAGTAAACTAAATATAAAGTAATAAACTTAAGTATAAAAAATAAAATTTACTATGGATGTTTGTTTTAGGGTGTAGCTAATTATAAGTTTAGGCATAGGCTGCACTTTACTTTAGGTCCTACACTCATCCTAAATACATTATTATTTGCTTTCTTCGTCTCTATTTCGGAACACATCACCTTATTTTAGTTTCCTTCATCGGTTTCCTTCATCGGTTTGTTTTATGTTATTTTTAATTTTTTTTATTTAGGTTAAAGCGGCTATTTGCCATTGCACTGAAAGCATATCGTAACTTAAATTAATTTGATCCCTTTATTAGGTGAATGGTATTGAAACAAACTATGATATTGTTTCTCTCTACCACAATCTTTAATACCTTAAATCACAGGTCTAATAACAATAATTATCTTATAATAAGTTCAATTAGTATGCCTAGTCTATTTCAAACATTCCAACAAGAATAAAACCCTTGATTAAATAGTCTAGTATTGACACAGTAAATAAAATTAAAATGCGATTATTCTACAGAAAACAATCGCATAATTGGGTGCTAATACATTGACAACAAATACATAACCTCTAAATCGCAATTAGTAAATTAAAGCAATAACAAAACAATATGGCGTCGTCTCAAAAAGAGTAATTTTTTGCCGAAAGAGAGGAAGAAGAAAGTGCACTCAACCTTCATTCAACAGCTCGATAGGTGTTGAGTAGTTTTGGTTGTATAAGTCCACCGTCAACCGTTTCAAAAATACGAAACGATTGGAAATAGAATGACTCGACACTCAACTCAACAGTCAACCATTTCAAAAATAGGGCCCCTGCTGGTTGGTTGTTGGGTTATAATTTTAGCTCAGTGGTTGTTGGTTGGTAGTTCTGGGCGCTGGGAATGGGCACACGGGAGGGACTAAGGCTAAAGGTGTAGTGACGTCACTTACTTACTTACTTCCGGTGTCCTCGCCACAATCGTTTGATCGGGGAGTCGTCAACTATCTTCCTTTTTCGGGGTTTTCTGTGTTTCAGGTTTCGTGTATTTATGTTTTGTGTATGTGTGCTCCTCTTTACCTTTACCTTTACCTAGGTCCTCTTCACCGTAGTCATTGAGACCAGGGAATCGTCATTCTTCTTTTATTATGTGTATATCTCTAGTAGCTAATGTATACTCTTGAGACAACACGATTACTGTAACGAAACGAAGTGTTTTCAGCGGCGTTCATGGCATAGTTAGTAGCGTTTCGATTTGGTGTTCAGGAGGTCCCGGGTTCGAACCTCGCTGATAGCACTGACTTTTTGTCAACAAATTTTTCATATCAGCAAGTTTGGTTGGTTAGGTTAGGTTATGACAGTTTAATTTTATAATACTAAATTTTAAAATTAATTTTATAATTAATTAAGAATTATAAGTTATCACTAATTAGATATTTATCTTATACTATACAGTTTTTATATTATCAGCAAGTCTGGTTGGTTAGGTTATGTTATGAGAGTTTTATCTTAAAAATAAAAATTTATTTTATAGTTTTAAAACAATATTTTATAATTAAAAAGTTAATTTTATAACTGAAAAAAAAAAAAAATTTCAACTTAGCGGTTCTAGCGGCGAGCGCTGACACTACAAGATATGTTAGCCTTAGTGTGGCCTTGCCTTAGTCCCTCCCGTGTGCCCCAACGCTGGCCGCTGGGATCATTTGGCTTTGGTCTTTTCTTTAGTCTGCTACTTTCAGTGTTGCCGCAAAACCAAACTGAAAGTCCTTAAGCAATATCTAAAATATAGAAATATATATTCTACTATACTGTTATTGAATAGTAAAGGGCTTTAAATCGTAGATTTTTGTTTTTTTGTTAGTGCTATTTGCATGGCATACTTTAAAATATATATATAATTGATTTCATGGGGATGACCAAGCTATTCCCCATGGATATTAAGCAAAATTAATAACTAAATAATATTCCTTATCCAAAAGTCAGAGGAAACTAAAAAGAATGATTTGAAAAGAGTGTATAGTGCTGTTATAACCTTTTGACAGACTCGCCATACAAAATAGAGTTAGAGTCTGCGAATAAAATAAAAAAAAGTAAAGGAGGTCCCTCCTCAAAGATGAAGGAGAGTGAAAATTTAAAAACGTACGTTTTCATGTCCCTGGCCTTTTACTTCGTAGATACTGGATTTGTAGTTTATTATTATGTGTTTTAATATTTTTTGGGGCGGGGGCAACATGTTACACACATTTATTTGGTTTTAAATAGGTTCTAGGTATTTTTTCGTATTTTTAAAGTCTCGAAATTCACGACCATGACGTGACCCTAGGGTACATTTTGTAACTTTCACGCTGTTTTTAGACTAATTATTCATGCCGAAATATATAAAGCCATATTTTTATGTCATCAATGGTTATTAAACTTACAAAAAAGGAGCATATTATAATTTTATTGTCATTGCAAACTGACTACCATGACAAAATAAGTCTGTCCCTCGATTTGGCGTCACGACCATTTGGGAAAAATTTTCTACTTTGGAGTATGACTGTGGCAAGCCTGGCGTTGATGGAGTCAGTTGGTTTTAGAGAATAGTTCGGGGTGTACGTCAGGATTGTAGTGCCGGTCGTTTCGAGTTGAAAGGAGGAATTACAAGATTGATAAAGGAAAGATTGTGTTTTTTGTAATTTTGGTGTGTCCATGACCGTACGTAGTCATTCGATGAAGTAGACATGGTGTTAATTTTTGTTTATAAGATATTTTAATTGCTAGATTAATCTAGAAGTCCACTTTGTATCCTTGAACATGAGGTGCAGGGCCACCGCCAGAACAGAGCCAAATAACACGTAATTTCACGACCAAAGTTTCACGACCATCGCGGGTTTTTTCACGACCAATCCAGCCTTATGGATTATAGTGTGTTTGGTCATGACAATAACTTTAATATAATTGTAAATTGAACAGTTTAGTTCAATTGAAACACATATTTTTATTATAACTAACAGTATAATTGAAGGATTGTTTAGAAAGATTTAGATTATTTCAGAAAATTCACGACCATACATGGTTCACGAACTATGTACTAAAATTCACGACCGCTTGTCCCTGACCATCACGTTTATGATTTCTATTATAAAATTTTCAAAAATTAAAATATCGTCATATTTCAATGTTTTTTACACAAAAGAAGCACACCTCTATACAAATATAACGATTTTTTGGGTCTCAGGTAAGTTTTTTCGGAGTTTATACAAACTAAAAAAGATTGTATTGGCTTTTTTCAATTTTTTGAGTTTTTTTTCTAGAAAGACCAAATATACCAAAAGCTCAGTGACCTTTTTATTGTACAATGGTCATAAAAGTAAATTATTTTATAGCAGAACATAGTTATAAAAATAATATTAACTATTTTTAAAAATTCATTTAAACGTCTGTTATGGTCGTGACAAGATTTTGTGTTTTTCCACTAAAGATGCTCTTTAAAAAAAAAAACTACCAAAGATATTGCGTTACCATGGACATTTTATGAAACTAAAATGTTAATGGAATAAAAAAATAATAAAAGTTTTGAAAAAAGGGGAAAAAAATTTGCAAAGTGCTTTTCCTGAAAACGTACGTTTTATAAATTTTCACTCAGGAGCACGATCACGAATAACTAAAAGTAAGTAAGAAACCCAAAAGAAGGCTAATCGAATGGCTCAGCTTGAAAAAGACTTAAAAAAACCAAGGCTCTAAAGAAACAATCCAGTAATATGAACAGTAGCAAATTTTGGTCAGGATGAATAATTAAGGTTGGATGGATCTATTGCTTGTTTAATGAGTCACAAAGTGGGCCTCACAATTTCTGTGAGGAATTGATGGCGAGAACGATGAAGCTGTCCTTGTTATTTGAGATTTTTTCAGTCTGATTATGATTATTAGTTTTGCTCAAAATAAGATAGAAAAACGCTTTATTTACCCAGCACAGTAGGAATTTCACGGAAAAAAGTATAGTAAAGTTAGAATTTAACAATAATGCTGACTCTTGAAAACCATTTAAAGTCCAAGCCTTATCTTCAAATACTCTCGGTGACCACCATTTCTTTCTTGGTCGTCTCAGGTTCATGCTTGTTCTTCCTAATCTTTGAAAAATTTTTTGTTTAGTCCACCACACCCAGAAATAAGATTTTTTGTAGAATCCTTTATTTGCTACTGTTAAAAAACAACGAGCAAATTCACTGACGAGGTAATAACAATAACATTCAAAAACAGAAAAAGAGGATGCTCTGCCCTGAAAGCTGCCCCCCTTCAACTGGCTATTCACGATTTTCGAGGCACACTTCATGAGTAGATCCCTGTTCCAGTTTCTTAGCAGATGCCTGCGAACTTGTGCACAGCCACATTGTGAAAAAGGTCTTGTGCTAATTGGTTTCAATGTCCATACGGTAATGTTTGGTGAACAACCTTAACTGCATTTCTTTGCAGTCTTGTGGACGAATTTCAAGCTGAAATCATGGTGGAGGAGTCTCGTCTTGCATGAAGCACCAGATGTTAAACAAAGGAGTTTTGACTGAAAATTTGGATCTTCTTCATGAGGCAAAATTACTTATATAAATTTAAGAAATAAGATTAAAACTGTTTTGTGACTTCGACCAGATTAACTAACAGATTTAAGGGTGTTTGTTCGAAAATGTTCATGTCTGATTTTTTGTTATTGTTCAATTGTACTAAAAATTAGAGATAAAAAAATTTAATAATTTAATTTAAATTAATTTAAATGTAAATAATATTTTTATAATGTTCAAACCACCAGCCGAATGAAATCACTCATTGGAAATGAGGCTCAATAAACCCATTGAGCCCCCGCCCAGAAGCAGAACGGGGTACTTCATATTATTTTCTTTTATGTTGTATAGTAATTCATCTGAAAAAAAAATTACCTTTCTCCAATATGGATTTTGTATGGATTTATAAACAATAAAACAATTTATTTTTTGTGTATTATAAGCGTAATTCGTTATGATTGAGAAAAAATAAACATTTTATTCTTAGTACTTTTTCAGCTTCAGGTTTTCTTCCTACCATAGATTAAATAATGAATGTGTAAATGCTTGCTCGTCTGTTGCCCTCTGTGCTGTCCGCTCCAGCTGTCAACAGTTAGTTGTCAGTTGTCACCATCACCGACCGATCGGCGACCGGCTCAAGGAGGTGTCAGTCAAATCAAATCAAGGCTTGGACTCGGTGTCAAATCACTCTAATCAACAAAAACAAAAGTAGGCCTAGTCATAGCATAGTCAACTCAGCAGTCAGCTGTCCCATCCCAGTTCGTTTCGTTTCGTGTTTCGTTTATGGCCTTTATGCCTGGCCTGGCAGTGTAGACGACTGTTATGTTTCAAGATTCAAATAAATTCGCTTCATTTATATTTCCTTTTCTGGAATAGTAACGTAGGCCTATTTAAACTTTTTACCAGATATAATAAGACCAACTGTCTTTTCTTGATCGATCACAACAATTTGAAAGTCGGTGAATCCAATCATGTCTCTACCCAAACAGCTCCAAGATTTATTCAGGTAAGGTACAACAGTAGAGGTTTTACCATTCAAATTGAGATAGGGGGTGTAATAAAATATTTAATAGGGGTACACTTCCATATCTGTTGGCACTTAAACAACCAGATGAAATATCGATCGATGTACCAGTAGGCCTATCAATTATTCGATATATCGTTTGGTTAGTTAGGTTAGGTTAACCTTTCCTAACTAACCAAACGATATATCGAATTAAACAATCGAATAATCAATATTACTCATTCGGTTGTTTATGCCAACAGATATGGAAGTGTACCCTTTAATAGGCCTTCTCAATATTTCTCAGTAAAGGTAGACTATCTAATTAATAAATCATTGTCAAAGTAAGTTTAGACCACGTTTAGACCTATGCCTCGTGAGAAGACAACTTGGCAAGTAGGGGACTGAGGATGGAAAAGGTGTACTACAAAGGTGCTCCATTTGGTCCTCAATTTTATCAATTAATGTTTTCCCTTTCTAAATGACAATAACCCTATGGCCTAGTTTTCACCAGGTCTGCGGGTATTTTAACCCTCCAAGTGTCCATAGTAATGGTTAGAGATGGGAATTATCGTTGTTTTCCGGCAACGGTTATAACGATATCGCAGCTGCCCAATAACGTGTTGCGGGGCAACCTGTTATTTCAATAACGATTGCCAACTCGTTGCCGCTGTAAACCGTTGTCCGCCGGTCGGTGTTGCGGCGTTCAGTTAGTTATCTTTGTCGGTTGATCAGTTCAGTTTTCAGTTGTAGTCGCGAGTCAGACGTTGCCGCGTTGTCCAGACAGGATGCGTTATTCTAATTCAAGTTCGTTTCAGAAGTTATTGTTGCTCTGGTAGCGTTGCGGCAACGGCACTAATGGCAATGCATGTTTTCGTTTTCGTTGTCCGCGCGGGTTTCCTGCAACATTGTGTAGATAGATACGTTATTATAATAACAGGGAGTTCTCGGCAACGTGTTGCCGCGATAACGTTGCCGTGGCCGCAACACTGTTATTCATCCTGTTATGTTAAATAACGCCCATCTCTAGTAATGGTCTTAATGTCCGCCCATTTATTGCACAATCACAGGGTTTTATTAAAATGTATCTTAGAAACTTAAAAACACTCTAAAGTATACTGTTTTATATAGGTATCATTTTGTTTGGAAAACTATGGGCTTTAATATAATATACCTTAATTAAGTGATTTTGAAGGGCTGGTTGATGCTCCTGAAGATGTATGTAGTGATATTGATGTAAATGATACACCAGATTCCTAGCTATGGTTAGGCTATGCATTCTAAGCTAACGCTAAATGTACGAAATCTGTTTTTCACCCATAACTTATTTATTTGCAAACTTACTTCCCTATATTATTATATTTTTGGAATCCTCATAAAATTTAGAACAATAATTTAATATAATATAATATAATAGGTATACAAAATTACAAAAACAATTTTCAACAATTTTTGAGGGGTTAACATTTCTCAAAAATTATAAAATAAATGAAAAAAATTTATCTTTGCGCTCAATACATTGATAATAATTTTAGGTCTACAAATATTTTGAAATAGCCACTTTGTTCTAAATTTTATGAGGATTCCAAAAATATAATAATATAGGGAAGTAAGTTTGCAAATAAATAAGTTATGGGTGAAAAACAGATTTCGTACATTTAGCGTTAGCTTAGAATGCATAGCCTAACCATAGCTAGGAATCTGGTGTATCATTTATATCAATATCACTACATACATCTTCAGGAGCATCAACCAGCCCTTCAAAATCACTTAAATCTTCTTATAATTCACCACGTATATCACTACTTTTATTTTTAACACTAAAACAATGATAAACGTAATAAAACACATCAGTCATCGGTGCGAGGTTAACCAAGCTGTTAACAAATACGCACGTCATCTGTCTGCTATAATATTTTCTGAACTAAAATGAAAAGCGTCTAGAAACAGATATCAGGAGAAAGCTTAGAATCTGCCGAAAACAACGATACCAATCTCGATCCAGTTCAATCTGATTCAGTCAGTCCCAGAGCCTTCGCCGTAAACGATGTTTGTGTGTCGCTTAAGCGACCCATAACACCACGGCGGGTGTGTTGTGCGTCGATTACGCGACGCTTAACACTCGGAGGGTTAAAGTTCGATTTTGTAGAAATTACAGTGTTAAGAACTTGGGCTGCATTTAAGTTTACGTCCTACATTTACTCACATAAGTTAGGCCACTGCAGAGTGCAGTTTGGTTAAGGTTAGGTTTAGTTTAGAACAGTTTCATTTTATAATCAGCTGGTAGTTGATGTATCCATCTATATTTAAAAGAGGAAGTTTGTATATATATATAAAGATTAAACATTAATAAACTTAGTACCCAAGTAAAATTATTTATTAAAATATTTACTGACTATAAGTTAGTTTCGGCTCTAAGGCCATTTTCAAAGTCTTTAAACTAAAGTGCAACAACAACTTGTTGCACTTTGATTGAGGGACAGTTAAAACTTATTTGGTTGTAGTATAAAGAACTACTAAGTATATTTTTAAATTTCAGCTATGTTGACAAGAATGCTGTGAAGTTTATAGGAATTTTAAAGGAAGCTGTGAGTATCCCTTCTGTATCAAATGATGTTGGACACCGTCCAGACGTAGTTACAATGGTCAAATGGACAGAGAGTCGGCTGAAAAGTTTGGGCGCCTCAGTTGAACTCTGTGATGTTGGAGATCAGGTATTTACTTTATTTTCATTCTTTGTCAAACAGGCCTACCAGGTCACCTTACTAAGTTAACTAAGAAGTAAGAGTACTTTCCTGTTAAAGGAACATTCATAATTATCGATGATTTTTTTAAATCTGATAGGCTATAACTTATTAGGTCTAGGATTAATGAATTGAAACAAATTTCAGCTGTCAACTACGATAAATAGGTAAATATTTTTCAGTTTTAACAAACAATTAAAAAATATTATATTGAAATGAAACTGTTCTAACTTAAACCAATGAATATAAAATAACCTTAAGTTACCTAACTAATCAAACTTGCTGTAACGGTTCAAAATCCGTTTGATATTCCCCACATGCCTTTTCTGTTATCAAACAAAATTTTAAAATGGTAAGTTTACAGCAAGTTTGGTTAGTTATGTTAGGTTAGCTTAGAACAGTTTAATTTCTTAATCCATTATATTTGCCTAAACAAGATCAGTTTGTTGTCAGTTTTTAATTTGGGGGTTTTTTTAACAGTGGGCCAGGCTTACAAGTGACCGTGGGATTGCATCGCAGCTGGAACAGCTTATTGTGCATCCTCATTCACAGGCTCTCATTCTCTGTCAAATCCCAGGTCCTTGGTGAACCATGAGATCTTTTTGACTATGGTAACCTGTTCTTCCCTTTGATCTCCAGTCAATAGGCCAAGGGGATCTCATACGCAGACCTTGTAGGGCTGGGCACATAAATATCACGTGGAAGGCTGTCTCCTCCTCCTCACCACATTTCCTACATAAGAGGCTTTCAACTTAAATTCACATCTTGTGTAGATGTCCGCGGAATTCCCAATGGCCGCTGATGAAGCCAACCACCTTCCGCAGGGTCTTCCTATTCAGCCCAAGGGCATCTGCCGCTATCGCACCGGTAGGTGTCTGCAGCATTCTCTTTGACTGTATGTTGCCATTATCATGACCAGGAATTGTCAGTCAGGGTTTGAGTTTCCCCCGATAACCGCCCAGTGGTCTGTGTCAAGGTCATTCTGCAGCTTGAGGCCTTCTTGGTCATTGCCCCCGTTGAGTTGGGAACAAACGCTGATACCTTCACAGCTTTTACAAGGTCTCTGGCTGAGGCAAGCTGTAGCGAGATTTCCCTGAAGGGACTCAGCTCCTGAACTTGCTTGACCAGCCAATCCTTTGTGGCAGCGTTAGTACAGCCAACCACCAAGATGCTTATTCAGTTGCTTATCCTGACGTCTTTGCCACGAATGGCCCACCTGGACCTCTCCCCCTTGATTTTGTTGGCTTCAGCCTCCATCCGTTTCCTGTCTGGGTGTTCAGATCTGGTGATGGCCATCTTCTCCACAGACAGTGTCTCTGAATAGGTGGGTGCCGGTGCTCTCTGTGAAACAACCAAGCCCTCTCCGTTTTTCGTCCTCGTCTTCTTTTTCTCGCCCCAGACATCCTCATGTGTCAGGTGCTATCGCCCCCTCTTCCCCTCTTTCCACCTTTCTTCCTGGAGGCTTCACTAGAGTCAGCTTTGGGGGTGCCGCCGTCGCCCTGCTTTTTTACCAGCACCCTGGTTTCCGAAGGAACTGGCTTTGTAGGGAGCAGGGTTCAGGTGCTTGGCAGACCACGCCAGCCTCCTCTCACTTCTGGATAGCACCTTTTCGCCTTTGGCTAAAGCACCCGCTATCCTCCATCTTATCACAACTCGCCCTTGGAAAGTCATTTTTTTCTGTTCCTTTCCGGTTTACGCGAGCTTGACGTCATCGTCAGATTTCAGTAGACCTTCCTCCTCCATTGGGGTCAGATCATCTACGTTGTTCCCACGAATACCAGGTATCTAAGGTCCACCTCCCCAGTGACCAATTAACTTAGAGAGGTACGGGGTACATACGACTGGGTTCCCCCTGGTTCCTAGAAGGCTCCACTAAGACACTGAATATTAGGTCCCCATGTGCCACAAGACTCTCAGCACGGACCGCATTACCCCTTAGTCTAGGGCCCCCCTCACTTGGTTCTGTAGGTGGGCCAACACCCAGTGGCAGAAGGTAGCTCTCCGCAGCTAACAAGTGAGAGTTGGGGTTTAGGTATGGCCAATCTGCCGAACCAACCCCACCCGAATGCGAGCTTTGGCTGGAACGGCGCGAAAGATTCTCCCACTCCCTAAACCTGCTATACCTTCTAATATAAATGTGTTTGATGATATTTATAACACAAAGGAATATGGATCGTAAAGGAAAACAAAAATACCGATATATTGAAAAAAAATCATCTATTATACTGAATGTTCCCTTTAAGAGACCTTGGAGCCTATCGGCCATCTTGGATGATTTCAAACAGCTGCTGAAGAGTAATTTTATGGTCCAAAAATATTTTTTCAAACACTAAAGTGATTTAGTGATTATAATTTAAATATCTAGTACTGTGAGACTAGAAATGTTATTTCTTTGTGGTTTTGAATTGTTCTCTAACGGAGTCCATGGATGCTAACGGCCATCTTGGATTTGTCCGCCATAAGATCAATGTTAATTTTGTTACGGTACCTTTAAATAGCCGCTGAAGAGTCATTTACCTTCCAAAAATATTTTTTCAAACACCAGAGTGATTGTAATTAAATTATCTAGTATACTATTAGATTACAAATTTCCATTGAAGGCCTAGTTCTTGAATTGTTTTATGAGATGGAACATATAGGCTCCAAGGACTCCTAACAGGAAAGTACCGAAGTAAGACCTACAGACTGTGTTTTTAGGCTATATTGTTAAAAAACAATGTGATATCTGGAGTTGTTATATAATAACAAACTTATTAAGTTAAGCCTAACCTTTGCTTTGACCGGTTTTTGTTTTTGTTTAAAAAGGTCATCAAACAGAAAAATTCCATTTGTCAAGATACAGTAAGTTTACACATTAGTCAAGCTATCTCATTACCCTAGCCTAATTACATTATCTTGAGTGTTGTCCTACTTGATAACAATGTTGACATGATTTGTCAACACGTTGAAATGCCAGATGAAAATACTTTAACTACCCTATAATAACTTATGTTATATGATAAACTTAAATAATTACTGGTGTAAGTTTAACCCGTGTAAGTTTAACTTCTCTCCCTAGATTACTATTACAATATGTGTATATTGTTGAAGGAATAAAGAATTATTCTATTGTCTACTATTCACAAGGATCATGGCTCCATTTCTGTTTTTAGAAATTAGTGGAAAACTCTTGAACTGGAACTTACTACTGTTGAGTTAAAAAGTATAGATACTCGAGTTTGAGCTTTTATTGCAATGTAACCAGTAGACTTGGAAAAATACAAGTTACATCATATTTTTACAAACTTATTTCTGCGTGTTGTTTATGTGTGTTGGTTTCAACTCAGCCTTTCAGCGGGGTGAATGAAAAAAGTACAGGTTTTTCGGCGCTTTTCTAACAACGGGCGACTTTTAACGAAACCACTGATGTAATTGTCGTGAAATTTTTAAGCTTTTAGAACATTTAGGGTAGACTACTCTTATAAAGCATATCTATAAGTTTTAGAAATATTCTTCAATCTGCGAATTGATAGCCGTACAAAATTTCACGCACTACTGTGTTTCAGAACAGTGTGATTATATGCATATTTTAATTATTAAATACCACTTAACTAATGAATGTTTTAATAGCCCGTTGTTAGAAAAGCGCCTAAAAACCTGTACTTTTTTCATTCAACCCGCTGAAAGGCTGAGTTGAAACTGTATAAAAAATTTTTAACCAACACACATAAACACAAAAAGAAATTTGTAAAAATATGATGTAGGCTAACTTGTATTTTTCTAAGTCTACTAGTTACGTTGCAATAAAAGCTCAAACTCGAGTAGCCTATCTAGGCTATACTTTTTGACTCGACAGTAGAACTGGTAAAACATAGTAAACAATCAATGATAGCCTAGTTGGAAACTAGACTTAGCTGCTATTCGCCAATGAGGTTTCAATAGAGCCATAGATTTAGGTGGAAACATAGCATCTGCTAGACTTTCTAACTTTTGAACGTATGACTACCCTAATTTCATATTTATCTTGAATTATACAACACATCCAACGTTCAACATCCACGTCAGTGTCAAATGGTTAACTTATAAACTTATTGACATAGCCAAGCTTCTGATGGTTGTAAAGTTTTCTCAGTTGGTACTGAACTGTATCCTTCAAGATATTCAAATCTAAATTATGTGAATGGTTGATAAGCAATCCTTTCTATGGCATAGGCCCTACATGAATTTCTTAAAACAAAAGTTGATAGAGAATTTTGATGTGTATCTACATGATCCATATTCTCTTGACATGTCATATGTAAATTAACTAAGTATTTTTTTAAAACATTGTATTTTATTTGTTAATTTGGAATGTTTTGTATGTGTTTTGACCATGTCTATTCCTTTGTACAAAGAAAGTTCAATGGCAATAAAACTCTTGATTCTTGAAACCAGCTGTGCTTGATCTCCGCAAATTGAGGTTCCTTGACTACAATGTTTAGGGGGTGGAAACAAAATCGAAACCTCAAATCTTTTACTTAAAGCAAACTTTGTTTTCTTTCCCAGATCATGCATGATGGCCAGAAGGTGCCACTGCCTCCAGTTATTCTAGGCAGTCTAGGCAATGACCCAGCTAAGCCTACAGTCTGCCTTTATGGCCATTTGGACGTCCAACCTGCAGCTAAGGAAGACGGCTGGGCTACAGATCCTTTCAAACTAGTGGAGAAGGATGGTAAACTGTTTGGCCGAGGGAGCTCTGATGACAAGGGACCAGTTCTGGGATGGCTGCATGCTATAGAAGCGTATCAAAGCTGCAAGCAAGATATCCCTGTCAACATCAAGGTAATTTTGAAATTATAAATTGAGTAGGCCTAATTAAAAATACCCCCCAAGCAGTAAACCTGTAGACTAAGCGAATTTAAATTTGTCTAATTGGATAAATACCTTGTTCCCATGGTCCGATTATGCTGGCTCATTCAAGTTTATCCCAACCGACACCTTCAACCCCAATTGTAGTTGAAAATCGCACCAAAATCACACAAAAAAATCACATTCACGGACACATGTACTGTATATATACATAACAATTCAAATGAATAGTGTAAAAACCTCTTGGAATATGAAAATGAAAAAGTAAATCAGTCCCGGGCCTAGGTCTTACCGTGCCACCTGAGACGGTAGCTACTTCCCTATGGGGAAATTTGCTAAAATAAGAATTAGATCCATTAAAAATTCAGAAAAATAAAATTGGTAAAATTTGAAGTATTTTAAACTAGTTGTAGTGATTGCATATTTTTTTCCTTTTTTCAATGAGTAGAAGTCGGAAGCCTCTTTTTAAATCTTAGATTTAATGTCCACATGGGTAATTAGAACTGTTGAATGTATCTTATCAAGCAAGCAAGAGGGGAGCCTTGTTGGATCGTAGGTTTGAGACACCTGACTATATAGACCTAACAGACTATTTTTTCTAATATGAAACAAATTTAAATAAATCAATAAAACTGAAATTATGATAACCTTGGTTGCTGTAACGACAGCTGGTTTCTGTTCTGAAAAACAATGTTTTCTAAATAGACTTATTCATGTTAAATTCCATAAACGTCAGTTGAGGACACATCTTTTTTCCTTTGCAGTTTGTGTTTGAAGGGATGGAGGAAAGTGGGAGCGAAGGTTTGGACGAACTGTTGGAACAGAGGAAAGACTCATTTCTCAAAGGAGTGGATTACGTCTGCATCTCCGACAACTACTGGCTGGGTACGGAGAAGCCTTGTATAACGTACGGGTTGAGAGGGCTGTGCTACTTTAGTGTTGAGGTGGAGTGTGCCTGCAAAGACTTGCACAGCGGACTTTACGGCGGAACTTTGTAAGTAAAGTGTGTAAACTTAACTATTTGTGTTAAATGCAACTAATGCAAACATTAATTGGTCTTTGAAATTATGTTTAACATAGCTCTTACATGTTGACCAGGCAGTTATAAAAATAGGTAGGCCTAACTTACACTGTAGAGACAAACATTATATTTTCAGCTTTAATAATTTGTTAATAGCATAGCAAAGTCGAGCTCTCGCTCATAGATGCTGCATGACCTTGAGTGTTTTATTTGAAAATCCAGATGTAACTGTATGTCTTAATATTCCAAATTAGGCCTAAATCTCAGTATGCTATTAAATATTGTTGCCTGTACATTGTTTGTTATTCTTTCTATGTCTAGCGTTTTGCAACACACAGTTATAGGTAGTTAATTTTGGAATACCTGATCTTTGTGGAGTAAAGCATGTTAGGTTTCAGATTATGACCATAATAGCCATTGATGTATTAATGTGAATTTTTAGTATTTTTACTTTAAATTCTTTCAGAACCCTTAGGAGAAATTTTTCTTCCTCTATAGACCCAAATTTGTTAAAAGATCTTGTTTTTAGAACAATTCACTTGTTGCTCTATCCATGCTTTGCTAAGGGGTGAGAATATAGGAGAATATCATTTGGTTTTTTTAAAATCTGATATTTGATATCTAACCCAATTTGCTTTATATTAAACCATGTGTTGTTTGTTTATATTCAACTAACAATATGTACACATGACACAAAATATCTCGACACTTGACAAATTCCACTACTGAAGTAAGATTTACTAAACAGCTGGGTTAGTAAATTTTCTTCATAAGAAATATATTGGGATTTTGATGGCCTGTGGGGCAAAGCCCGAGGACTCTTATTACAGGAATCGGTGAAAGGGGGTGTTTACACATTAGGGTGGGCTGAAAAAAAAAATTATTTTTTTTTCTTAATGCTATACCGAAAAAAACTTGTCTCTATGATGGGTTATCAAAATGCAACAAAGAAAAAAAATCTATACCTAACCTCCAGCTAGCGCATTACACTTGAAATTTCAAAATTTCACTCAAATCATAGGATTTTTAAAATTTTTTAAAAGTATCTAAACCTTTATATATTAGTTTGCTATAGTGAAAATAATATATTTTAGAGTTACAAATAGTCAATAAACTATAGGAAGTTTTGTAATTTTTAAATTTGAGGTGGCGCAAAGGCCTTCAATATAGTAAATTTGTGACGTTTTTAATGCTAACCAACTGCAGTGCAGTACATTCTCTAACTTTTTTGTACCCACTACTATTGTGTTTTTAGATCTATAATGTTGGTACTTAAATTAAGAAAACCTCTTGGAAAATTAAATAAAGATATAAGCAATTTACATACATATATCAAAATGGATTTAATGAATACAAAATAGATTGTTAAATACAAATTTCGATTCCCAAGCTGCAAAATTGTAGTCTATTTGACTCTCACTGAATAGTTATTTACATATTTGGAACCTTGAAATCATGTTTGCTTGTAAAACTTGGCATTGAAGCTCGTGAAAGCAGTGTTGTTCGGATGAAACCATCTCTGTTCTTGACGCCAACAACTTTTGAGGAGGCTTCAGTTACCAATTTCACACAGCGCTCAACTGCTTGTGTGTGACACGGGAATTTATGAAAGTTCCATTCTTCTGCTGTACTGGCAGTTGAAATCTTGGCCCACATTTCTTCTTCGGTTACTCTTCGTAACAGAGGTGGTGGATAAATAGCTGTAGTAGTCCAATCAATAATTTCGTAATATTCTTTTGCCTGGAAGTTGAGTTTTGGAGGTTTAAAAGTTCAGACTAGCTTTTCTTTGGAAGCCACGGCCCTTGATTTAATAACTCTTCTAAACCCCAACTCTCTGATATGAGCCCTTTCATCAACGATCATACTCAGTAGCAAGTTTTCTGGATGTGCGAAAAAAGCATTTCTTTCGATCACAGGATCAACCACCTTAATCAAGTTTTCTGGCAGGAATCTTGATGATGTTATTAAATCGAAAACATGTTTTGGTCCATCAGTAAGGTATTTACTTTTTTTAATCTTAAACCATACAGGCATGTATGATTTAAGTATAAATTGTACCAAAGTTTGGTGTTCTTCAGATGGATTCTCAACACTTAAATAGAGACGCAGTACTCTGTTTGCTGTTGTCAGCCATCGAGAATGAGAAATAGGACCTGGTTCACGAACTGCCAAGTCTGCCAAGCAGGTGCCTGATTTTATAGCCGAACTTATGTCCAGAAGATACTGTTGGTCTTTACTTAAGATTTTCCTATCAATTTCTGGTATGTCACAATCAATGCTTTGAAACTGCACAACTGGAAGTTTTTCACAATTTTTGAGTTTCGAGCCAATATAACCACTAAAAGATGTAGGACCAGTCGTTTCACCATCCAAAGTTTGAAACAAGTGCCTAAATGGTAATTCATTTAGGTGCAAAAGGCAAACTCCCCACTGCAGTGGTCTTTTAATTTTCTCTTCGATTTTGCGAATTACACCAGTTTTCCAGCCGGTGTTTGTGACAGTACCATCACATCCAATCACATCAAGCTCATCCAGCAAAAAATTTTGCTCATGTAAATAGTCCAAGACAGCACTGGCAATGTCCTTTGAAGTTCCAGTAGTTGGTGATACATGGCCAACATAAATTGAGCCAGGTTCCTGAATGATAGAGTAGTGTTCCTCTTTTACAGTTCTTCTAAAACACTTTTGATTCAGTTTGTCAATCTTCAATGTGTTATCCTTTCGGCCATCAAAATATAGCCCTTGAATTACGTCCGGCTCATTTTTTATTCTATCTTGGAGATTCGATCTGAATGATTGTTTTTCCCTTCTAACCTTGTTCTTATCTATTATGAGGGAATCGTCCTCTTTAGTTGCAAGACCTAGGTCATGAAGTACACTAGAGGCAATAGCAGCTGTTGCTCTGTCCGAAACCCCAAATCGGTCACTTGCCAATACGGTATTTTTTAATTGTATACGCATTTGCCACTGCTGTTTAGTAGAACTCGGAATAGGAATGTAGTCGTCATCAGAATCATCAGACTTTTCTTTTTCCATTAAGATTTTGTCTGGATCTATGTTTGACTCCGTCACATTCTTAGAGCATGTAGGCTGGGAATATGAAACTGGTGGAATGTTAGACGACACAACCCGATTTTTTATTTCCTTACGTTGCAGTCTTTTGATTATTTTTTTCGACTCCTTCTTGTCTACATTTCCAATTTTTCCTTGTCCAAGATATCTTTGGAAATACATAAACTTAAGTTCAAGCACGGGAATCTTTTTGTCTTTTTCACATTTACATGAAATTGACAAAGGGCACTCACAGATCTCAGGGACTTTTTTGCAGTTGCATGAGTATGTTATTTTACATTTACATGCAGATACATCAAATAGTGATAAAGCCTTTTGCCTGAACTCCTCAACTTTTTGTTTGTACTTCTCTTTTTCCTTGTCACGCTTAAAGGACTTCATTAGATTACGGTAGCTATCATGGTATGAGTTTATTAACTGAACGATTCTGTAAGGCGTCACTGTTGGTATTGATGCTTTGTCAAAGACTGCTTTTACTTTTGGAGCAACAATATTTGATATCTGAGAGAAACTAACAGGCTTGTTACTTTCTAATGCTAGTACATACTGTTCATGGAAACAGCTCCTAATAACATCCTGGTAATTTGGAAGCTTACTCACAGGCAATTCCCTTGGACAGCCAAACAAAGGACAATCAAAGTCACTCCGAGTCACTTTCTTGGCAACGGCCATCACGCACAATAAACTTAACTCAAAAAATTATAAACATAATTTACAAGATCAACTCAAACGTCAGTCCAAAATCGTACACAGATGTAAACTGCCGAGTGACAGGCCGTCTCAACGTCTCCCCGCGAAGTGCATTGTGGGTGTGTGGAGAGTATGGGTGGGGGAGCCCGGCAAGGCCGCCGGGTCATCGCCCGAACTCGCAGCTGTCATCCCGCACTTGACTCAAAAATGCGTCATTGTAATGACTATTGCGCTACCTCAGATTAATACAATTAAACTTCTGCAATTACTTATTGTATTTCCAAGGCTCTGTTCTAACGTAATATCACTATAGCAGTCCAATATGCAGGTATTTAGATGCTTTAATTATATTTACAAAAGCTTATAATTTGAGTGAAATTTTGAAATTTCAAGTGTAATGCGCTAGCTAGAGGTTAGGTATAGATTTTTTTTCTTTGTTGCATTTTGATAACCCATCATAGAGACAAGTTTTTTTCGGTATAGCATTAAGAAAAAAAAATAATTTTTTTTTTCAGCCCACCCTATTACACATAAAATACCTAATTTTGATAGATCATTTGTAAAAATCCGTCCATTATTAACGGAGGAGTAGAAATCGCCTTCCCGTATTATATATAAGGATTTGTTGTCAAGTCTTGCTAGGAAACTCTTTATTTATGAACCATACTTAGTTAACAGATGTTTAAATCATACTTATATTATAACTAGCAGAGTACCCGTCCTTCGTACGGGGTTGGAATATAAGTATAAAATGCTTTTTGCAGTTATACTCAAGCTTTGCGTTTGCATTAAGGGAAGACACAGTTTGATAAAATTTGCTTTTTTAAATTTACAGTATTATATAGTATTACACATCTACCATAGCCATAATGTTCTACCACTTCACCTAAAAAATAAATTATCAACAATTTGCAAAATATCACAAATTATTCATGAAATGAAAAACATAAACATAACTGGAAACAATCCTACTTTGACAGTTCTATTTCCAAATCACAGTTTTTTGTTGCTGCTTAGTTCAAATTAGCTGTTTTCATAAATGCAAAAAAATATAGTGCTGCACTCTTTTGGTAAATCTTATAACTTTGTAATGCTTTTCCATATCATAGAACCAACTTTTTAGTTGAAACAGCTGACTAAATTCTTTAATTCCATTTAAATATGAATACTCATATACCCATAGGTTAACATGGGGAATTACAGAGCCACTGGGGCGGAGCCCGAAAGGATTTTTGAGATAAGAATATACCTATATGTTAATCGGGAATGTAAGCTATCATCATGCCAAATTTCAGCCCAATCCGTCCATTGGATTTTGCGTGATTGAACTTCAAACAAACAAACAAACAAACACACAAACTTTCACATTTATAATATTAGTAAGATAATGTGAAAGTTTGTGTCTTTGCTCTGGAAGTAATAAGTCCTGCAGTCTGTGGTTAACCTTAAAAACTATTTCAAACTATGTCCATATATTTAGTTGTAAACAAAGGGAATTTAGTTTGATCTAATTTCAACAGATAGCGCCAACATTCCCAAACTTTAGCCCTTAATTGTACTTAAGTGATGCACTTTCTTAATGTTCTGAGACATATTTGCACATCTACATGTAAATACCTTTAATTTGACACTTCAAATGTTAAAATCTGTCAAGGCGTTATCGAGTTATGACTGTGAAAAGAAAACTGCTTGCGTATTAATATTTACTAGATCGCCCTGTGGTCGAAACTCGACCAAAAATAATTAATGTACAGACTTCTCTATTTTCTCCCCACACTGTAAATAAAACATGTGATTGGAATTTCTTCCATTTGTTTTGATTTTCTGTTTACATTTTGTTGTTATTTCGTCACCATCATGGCAACCCATATGGTCCATGTTAATTTTTTGAAGTTTTCAAATTAATTTTTTGTGCTTATTTGTTAGCCTATTTTAACTTTTAAAGGCATTCTGCACATCTACAGGAAAATATCTTTCCAACAGTATGCGTAGATTTTCCCTGCGATGCACACGAGCTGAGAAAAAAGGTTTTAAAGAAACATGCTTGCCTATTAATATATAGATAGATAGATAGATTAGGCCCTACTACTTTCCATAAAATAATCTGGTTATGAAAGATACATTTATTTTCAATGTTTCTAGGACAGAAGCAATGAGTGATTTGATATACCTGTTGGACACACTTGTTGATGTCAACGGGAAAATCCTTGTGACTGGAGTGTACCAAGACGTAGCTCCGATCACTGATGCAGAGAAACAGCTGTACAAAAGTATTGATTTCAAACCAAGCGATTTTCAGTCTGAAATCGGTTGCAACAGCTTACTTCACAGTGGCGAAAAGGTTAGTCACCCCTTTAGCCTTTGGAACCTCTGTAGATTTTGGTCTTACAAAAATGTCTCTACATTCTATTCTGTCTTCCCTTCTCTAGCTGCTTCAGGGGTAGAGCCAAGTCTATTGATTTCCTTATTTGAACTTGGACCTTCAACTTCAATATTGTTTTTTATTCTGCCAAGTCTAAATGGTTTTCTGCATCATAGTTGGTTTAACCATCATATCTGAGTTTGTATACTTGTTGGACTGTAGCAAATATTTTCCTCAATACTCTATTTTAAATTAAAAGTAACTTTTCTCAGAGTCATTGGTAGCTTTTAAGCCTATTACCTAGTTAAGTATGGGGTCTGACTTACGGGAGGCATAAATGAGGCATATTAGTTCAAAATTCCTACGTGAACAGCACTGTAGTAGAGAGCACTTGGCTATAATGAAGGTTTACTAATTGAAAAAATCTTTCTGTTCATAAATGAAATTATAAAGCTTCAAAAAAAATTTTTAATTTTTTAATTATAAAATTAAACTGTTGTAACCTAACCAAACTAACCAAACTTGCTGATAATGAAAAATCGAATTAAGGTTTACCAATCAAAAAAATAGTTATGTTCATAAAATAAAACTAGAAATGTCTCAAATTAAATTTGATAATGTTTTAATTATAAATTAAACTGTCATAACCTAACCAAACTTGCTGATAATAAAGAAATCTTAGACAAAAAGTTAGTGCTACCAGTGAGATTTGAACCTGGGACCTTCAGCTTATCAGGCCGGCACGCTATTCATTGGACCACCGAGGCCGATGGCTCCACACTGTATCGTTGTGGTAATGGTGTTCCCTCAACTAATCAGAAGCCCAAAGCTTTCATCGTAGGCTCATCTATACCTCCCTTGAGTAAACACTGTTAAGTATGGCATAGAAGATTCAAAACTCCTTCACAGCTGAAGGCAAACCTGATCTTGCATTTCTACTTATCTTAAGAAGTTAATTAGGTCACTGTGGATAGCTAAACATTTGCACAGCCTATCTATGGTTATTTGTTTCTGTATTTCTCACTTCGAAGCTTCTATATTATTTCATACATTTAAAACATTTATTTTTATGTATGTTGTTATAACTGTGCTTGTCTAGGCCTACCTATACTATTTATTTTACATAAAGTATATGATGAGTGTTTGTTATTAATTTTACTTACTATTAGAAATAAATTGTATTTTGATTTGATTCCAGACTGCAATACTCATGAGTCGCTGGAGACAGCCAAGTTTATCCATCCACGGTATCGAGGGAGCTTATTCGGAACCAGGAGCAAAAACTGTCATACCAAAGAAAGTGTCCGGCAAATTCTCAATCAGACTTGTACCTCACCAAGAGCCAAGCAAGATAGACCAACTAGTGATCGACTACCTCAACAAGAAGTGGGCTGAGAGAAAGAGTTCAAACAACTTCAAGGTTAGAAAGAAAATATTCAATTTTTCGTCCCAAAAATGATTATTGTGATTTTATTTACATATTATTATTTAAGGGTCGAAACTATAAATATTTATGATGTGTTGGATTAGTTACAATCAAAGGATGACAATATAATGGCTAAATAATACAATGCTAACACGGTTCTACCTAATAAAGTTGATTCTCTATAAAAACCAACAATATGAGCCATTGGCCGACATCTGTACAGTTCTAGAATTTGATTTTTGTGACAGACGTCTCTAGTGTATTTTACCTCGATGTTCAGTTCAATACCACAATCTTTACAGTGAATATCAGTACTTATTGCGTAAAATATGTAACTGTGCAGTGTAGTTTGTCCTCAATTTCAAGAACTTTGAAGGCCTAGCTGATTTTTAGCATTTAAACTTATATAATAGAGGTAAACCCAATTGAATTAATGAATTGTAATTTAGGCTATAGGGCTACTTAACGATATTCAAGCCTACAAAATACAGTTTTAGGCTTTTTTATCCAAGGACGCTAAGCACGAGGCCGGATTGTTTTTCACATTACTTCAGGCTAGACCTAGGGGTTGCTGTATTATCACTTAGATAAAAACCATTAATGGTTTTGGCGGGATTTGAACCCGGGACCCCAGGAACCGAAGTACCACGCTCTAACCACTAGACCAGCTTTAGGCTTATAAGATAAAACTAAACTAAACTAAATAACTAAAATAGTCTTATTTTAGTTCAATGAGCATTGTTTTTTGCTTTAATACATACTGTTAAAGAGTACATAAGGCTTCATCAGTTGACTTTTTATTGTAGCCTACGTACGTTAATATTGCCAGCTATAAATTTTTATTGTTTGTGTTTATTTCAACTTTTATGGTAGTCCGACACCCTCTCAGTCTACCAAGTGATTATTGAGACTGTTGTATTTCTCCCACTAAGGTTTGAGACTGTCATTCATTAAGATCAAGAACTCGTAATACGATTTTTTGTGAGGTACAGAGGTGGTTTTTTTCACAGCTCTATGAAAATTCCAAGATATAAAACTGACGAAAAATTGGTTTTAGGTAATTCCTTTGCACGGTGGTAAGCCATGGATGGCTGATCCTTCGCATCCACACTTTGAGGCAGCTAGAAAGGCGATCAAGCACACTTACAACACTGAGCCTGACCTTACTAGGGAAGGAGGATCGATACCCGTCACACTTACATTGCAAGTAAGTCTGAAATTGTTGACAATGACAAAATTTGTCACAAAGCGATGTCAAATTCATCATATTCATAAATTAATTTCTACGCCAACGTCTACATGAGTTCTCTGTGTCAATAGACTTTTTACTCGGGTGGTCTTGAATGAGGGCAAAGCTGTAGAACATTGTGCACTTTTTCCTGACGCGAGTTCCGTTCAACCATATACATTTGGCCTTATAGTTTTTCGTAATTTATGGGACTGCTTTAATCATACTTATACTTATTATTCTACATGCTGTATAGTGTGATAGTACCAATATAATAGCTCAAAGTTGATGTGATCGCCTTAGATTAAATAAGTAATTTTATAAATTGATTGTGTTGTTGATAGAATTTGTAATACAGATTCAGATTTGTTGATAGTGTCTTTGAATTAAGTACAAGACACCTTTCACTCCTTAGGATCTCATTTGGATTAAACGAAGTTGCTATTTGATTAAAAAATTCTTGTTCATTGTAAGTTTTTGAGTGCACTAAAATTCAAATGTTTGTTATAGTTGCGGACAGGGTATTCTAAAGGGTTCGGTCCTATTTCTATTTTACAGTAATTTAAAATTCAGCTAATTTACTAGTGGTTCACTGATTTTTGCAAGATATTCAATATGAACTTCATTTGTGTCGTATGGATGTAGAGTTACAAAAATAGTTGTATTGATTTTATCTCTTTTTTCCAGGAAATAACAGGGAAAAACACTCTTCTATTACCAATGGGTGCGTGTGATGATGGAGCTCACTCTCAAAATGAGAAAATTGACATCCGCAACTACATTGAAGGGGTGAGTTGTACATTACCAGCAATCTTGGGGGTTTTCTTTAGTTTCAGTTTAAAAAAACGGCTGTACTGGTATACGGTTTAATGAACAATGTATTTTTGAAACTACAGTACACTCCCGATTAACCGAGGTTGTTGGGACTGAGACTACCTTGGTTACAGAGAACCTCGGATAACGAAGATTGATTGATTTTTGGGTTAGGGGTTACGGTATTTCCTGACGATTTTTTGACCATTCTAACCAAAACCCACTATGTAGATAATGGTAAAAAAAGATGTGTTGATTGATCTTGTCTCAACTTCATTTATTTATTTTCAGACCAAGATGATGGCTGCCTATTTGTATGAACTGGGAAAGCTGGGAAAATCTTCGTAATCCAAATCACCTACCAAAGAGGAATGGCAACATAAATATTTATAATCTATGGGACTGAAACTATATATCTAAGAACTGGAAATAACAACTGTGATATCGTGTTTTTTATCAACACCCAAATGTTTTAAACTTTAAAGAGAAGAAATTGTTCTTGTTAAAATATTTTTTTTTCATTTTTCAAGGATACTTTGATATTTTAGTGGCATCTTGGACATAGCTGAAAAATTTGGAATCCTAAACTATTCAAAAGAGAGTTTGGATTACTTTATAAAAAATATATGGTCAATCTTAAAAAGTCTTGACCAAAGAGGAGTTATCTAAATGTAGATATTTTTAGATAGTTAAAAATGCCACTTACCTGAAAAAAAATTACTTGTTTTAAGTATCATCTCCGAGGTTCCCCTAATAGACCTGAGTTTATGAACAACTGCTGTACCCCGTTTCAAAACATAGATCGTTCAGGTCAATCTATCTTCTTAAGTCTAAGCTACCAAGTCTGTGGTGTAAAATTAATTATCCATTTCAAAGAAAAGTGTTTAAGTATAGTATTATATCATAAATTCAAATATGACTGTTTATTACATTTTTGTTTGAACCAGTTAAAAAATCATAAATGCTAAGTGTCTATAATTTGGTTCAAGGTCTGTATTAATCTCGAGTATTTTACGTAATAAATTATATTGTGAGTAGTTAAACTGTTTACATATTTTTATAATATATATTTTCAAAATATACATGCATTGAAAAATAATGTGGTTTTATTTCATCCTATTTACAATTGTTAGGGTTTAGTGGAGTACATAGTTGCACAACCAGTTTTAGAGATGAAAATATTTTAAGATTCTTTAAGACGCACACCACTTTGGTGGGTACTGCTAAATGTGGGTGTATAATCAAGGCCCCACACTGTCACAGTGGTGGATAGTTGTATTAAAAACTTATCTTAAAATCTATCAAACAGCCAGCTTATTTACCTAAAACATATAGGATATTGCAGTGAATCTGTCAACAAATCTATGCACTAGTGTGACGTCTTGGATCCTGCAGCATGGCCTGTTCTTCTAGTGGGGCCTTGGTATAGTGAAGCATGGACAAAAAGAATCAAATAAAATCATTCTTTATTCATTATACATAAAATTACATGTTTTGAATAGAGTCAAATAGACTACAAATACATATAACTACATATTACAAAGTGCTTAAAGTATATTACGTACTAATGTAGGGGAAAAAATTAATTAATAATAATCTTTAAAAAGTGAAGCATTTCTAACTGAATATTTAAACAAAAATATAAGTTAACATTGATGGAATCACAATAACATGAGCAGTTAATAAAATAGAAAACATACATCCATTTCCCGGGCTTAAATAAAAATAAAAAATAAAAATTGGTATTACTAATTATGGTGAAAATTTAAATTGTACCCCAAATTTTGCTATGGAATTCAAACTGTGTAACTACCAATTTTTATTTTTCAGAAATTCTATGGAATAAAATGGAAATTTGATTAAAAAGTCTTTTAGTGTTCTTTTAAGTTGATTCAAATTGTCTTCCCTCTTTATATTAAACTAGCTGTAACCCGCGGGCTTTGCCCCGTTTAACTTCTTAATTTTCAAGATGATCTCGTTCGCATGGCTCAATCACGTCCTGGTTGAAGTTCGTTCGCTACGCTCACTCACCTCTAGGTTGGAGCTCGTTCGCTACGCTCACTCACCTTTAGGTGGTTACCATAGTTTCGGCCTACGCACTATGTAACTACATGGCGCTCCCAGCAGTGTGCGCCAAAACCTATGGTACAACCATAGATAAAACATACTCCCTTAGGGTACAACATAGGTTTTGGTTTATCGTTTATAACAACAGCACAGCTGACAGTCTATTTGGCAAACTACAACAGTTGACTTATTCTCCATAAGAATAACATGGGAATTTTAAAATTAAAATTTTTTGAAGTTTCTCCATAACCATTAGGCGCATAATAACGCTTAAATATACTAAATTATTTGTTTTTTACAGCACTACACAATTATTTGTAAAGTAATTGTGAAATTTGTGTTTTGAGGGTCAAAAATGGGAAAAACCTATTTTTACCCCATAAAACCCCCATAAACCCCAGTCCGATCATGCTGGTTTGCAAACTCGTTGGAATAAATGTAGGTTTACATGTATGTACCAAATTTCATCAAAATCGGATCATTTTTGCTCGAGTTATCGTGCTAACGAACACACACACATATATATATATATATAAATATATATACATATATGAATTTGAACGAATGTTGTTTTTGGCCTCTAGGGATCTCAAAACGAAAAAGTAAATCGGTTCCGGGTCCAGGTCTTACCATGAGTACTACGGTAATAGCTTATTCCCTATATGGGAAATTCGCTAAAAATAAAGAAATTTAATTATATTTAAATTAAGAAAAATCATTCAAACTAATTATTTTGCATTTAAATTTTAAAATTCCGAACCCTCTATTGCGGGGAAGCCCTTCAAACCTCTCTCCCCGATCAAACTCTTTCTTGATCCTTGTCAGGCCTACCCAAAAAATTATTCGTGGAGCCGCCCCTGGTGTGTATGTGATGGAAATGTGGAGAGGTACAGACGTACGTATGTAAACAAACGAAGTACAAATAAACAATCTTATCAGCTGTTAACATTATAGCATATTTTATTGTTGTCATTACAACCAATTAAACAGTTGCACACTTTGCCTCCTAAAGTTTACTATGGCTGATTCTTGTGAGCACAGTTATGCGATTAAGTTTTGTGTAAAACTGGGAAAAGTGTTACTTGAAGCTTGAAAAAAAGCTTTTGGTGGTGATGAAATTAGTGAAAACCCCTGTAAACAACATTAGGTGGCATAAAGTATTAAAAAATGGACGGGAATCATGTAAGTTGGAAGGTGGCCTAGCACCCCTCTGTTTCTGCCCTTACCTTACTGAAGAAATAATCAACACTGGGGTGTTATGACTCGCAATGACCTATATTTTTTTAACTAACCAGCTTGTTATAAAATGTTGCATAAATTAATTGACAGTGTCCATACACTTATGCATGATTTTTTGAATATGTCAGTCTGTGCTCGTTTGATACCACAACACCAGTTCAGAAACAAAATCAGTTGAAAATTTCCTACTTTGGTTGCAGTTCATGTGTCAAGGTGATATGGTGGAAAAACATTATAAATGCTGATGAAAATTGGATTTATTGTTATTGTCCTGCATTAAAACAACAGAGAACAGGAGTGGGTGGAAAAAGGTGGACCGCGATGCCAAACAAACCTCGAGTTCAAAAGCCCCATATTGTACCAGATACAGGTCAGACAATTAATTGGGGTACTATTTTAGTATTCAAACAATTAATAAACAAAGACCACATCAAAAAAGCGGCCAGACCTTTTCAGACGCTGGAAACTGTATGATGACAATGCCTGCTCCCATGTTGACGATACTGTGCTTCAGTTTCTTGCAAAAAATAAGGAATTAAAATGTGCCACACCCACCCTTCAGCCCTGCACCTGGCTCCAAATGACTTTTTTCTGTAGGTATCCTCAGGCCAAGGATCTAAAAGGCCGTCATTTTCCAACAGCTTCTGTGTCTGTTAAGACTTTAGAGGCTATTTTTAATTTTCTGTCTAAGGAGGGCCTTGAACACGTCTTCCGGTATTCAAGGAGTAGCAGAGGTGCTGGAACAAGTGTGTGGCTTTGAATGGATACTTCTTTAGAAGGAGATTTAAAAGTGTAGAAGCATATTAGGTAAAACATACTCCCTTATGATGGTTAGTCTATAGTTTAAGTGAAAGTAAAAAGCAAATAAATGATAAATCATAGATTAATAATCAATAATAATACTTTAGAGTATATTTTTCAACCTGCGGTTGGATATTGATAATTATTAAAATTATGTTTGATTTTTAATCTAAGTCCTCATTTTTAAGTTAGAATTCTGATATTTACCTCAAAGATAGAAAATACATTTTTGTTGGTCGGTGATCTTTCCTCGCAGACTGAGCCCTGCCATAATTAAGACTAAGCACGGCCACCTTTAAAGGCGGCCGTGGCCCTGCCCTGTCTGCCTGCCTCTCTCTGACACTAGACAATACTGTACTGTCTCGTGGTGGAAGTACTGACTGAGCGCACGGCCACCTTTAACTGCAGGCCGCGGCCTTCGAAGTGGCAACGTCGCAAGTGGTTTTGTAACAGCTGTTTTTTTGGAAGCAGCTAATGGTATTTGTGTATTTACGAAAGATTGGTTACTGGACTATGTCAATATTGATTCCACTTAAAATGTACAGATATAGGTTTTTAATTCATATTGTTTTCAGTTTTCAATTCTGTATGTTCTATCAGCTTCCTGATGATATTATTCCGAATTGGCAACGTCGCAAGTGGTGTTGTAACAGTTGTTTTTGTTTGGAAGCAGCTAATGGTATTTGTGTATTTACGAAAGCCGTATTAATAAAGATGAGGTAAACCTTTTACTTGCGAAAATTCGAGCAAATCCTTCAATCTGTATTAATAAAAACTAAAGCAAAACCTTTTGCTTTAGAAGTAAAAGGTAATCTATAGAAATTTGAGGTTTTGCTCATGACTTGAGTAAATGGTTATTAATAAAACTCACCATTTACTTTTTCTTTGAAGTAAATCCTTCAAAAATGATGCATCTGATCAGTAGCAGATTATACGTTTAAGTAAAAGGTGTGTGGTGGTTTTAGTGTGGTGCTAAATTTCAGCAAATTTCCTTAATAGGGCAAAAGCTATTCCGTAGGTCTCATGGTAAGACCTAGACCCATGACCCATTTACTTTTCCGTTTTCAGGTCCCCAGAGGCCAAAAACCTCCTCCGTTCAAATTCATATACATGTTTGCCCGTTAGCACGATAACTCGAGCAAAGGTGATCCGATTTTGATTAAATTTGGTGCAAACGTGTAAACCTACGTTTATTCTAAGGGATTCGCGAATCAGCATAATAGGATATGGAAACGATGGTTTATGAGCGGTTTTATAGGGTAATTGGATTTTAACATTTTTTACCCTAAAAACATAGATTTTAGCAACTTCTTTCCACGCCATTTTGTAGAGTTTAAAAAAACTATTAATTTAGTATATCAAAGCGATGTTATGCGCTTAATGGCTACGGAGAAAATAAAAAAAATGTAAATTTAAAATTTCCATGTTATTTTTATGGAAACATTTTTAAACTGTTGTAGTTTTCTTGTTTGTGAGCATTTTTGATCAAATTTGCATTCTATCATACTAAACTATTACATTTTATAAAAAAAACCTTTTTACCCTCCCTGTAGCAGTAAACCTAAGTACTCAGTTAAACTAAAGCTATTTAAATAGGGAATGGATGTGATATTGGAGACATTTTAGAGTACATCCAATCAGGCAAATGGAAATTTACTTAGTCTGCAGGTTTGCTGTGGCGGGAGTATTTTGTTTACCTCCTACAAAGCTATCAACATTTCAATAAAAACACACCTCAACACCTTCTTTGAATCAGCAAACCTAGGTACTCATTAAAATTAATATTATTTAAATAGGAAATAAATCTGATAATTTTCAGGGAATATTTTAGAAGAAATCCAGCCAGAAAAGGAAATTTATTTAGTCTGCAGCTGCGGCGAGGGTCTCTGTGGTTATACAGTACTGCATGCTATCTACAAAGTGACAAATAGCATATGTTTAGTATTCATTTGTTTATGTTGTGTTTGTAAATATTTACAAAACTAATCACAAAGCATATATGATGATTTCTATAAACAAATTTATTATGTACCCGACTAACTATTATCATCAACCAAATTCTATGTCTAGAAAGGGGTTAAGATTCTAGGGGTCAAATCCGGGGTAAAATTCCAGCCCACACACTCTAGATTTTATAATTTAGTTTGTTATGATTAAATTTAAAGCCAGATGCAAAACCATTACACGGAGTTGGCACAGTTAAGCCTTCGAGGGATATCAGTAGACAAAAATAGACAGGATCAGACGTGTAACATGTGATGTTCCTTAAGAATCATTTACTTCCGAGCAGAAGGATTTGCTCGGAAGTAAAAGGTAATCATTATTAATACGGTTTGAAGGATATGCTTTTACTTTTACCTTTTACTAGAAGCAAATGCTTTTGCTTCATACCTTTTCCTTTTGAGCATATCCTTCTTTTTATTAATACGGCTCAATGGTTACTGGAATATGACAATATTGACTCCGATTAAAAATTTTCAGATATAGCTTTTAATTCATATTGTTTCGGTTTTCAATTCTGTATGTTTAATTTTCAATATTTTAATAAATGTATATTCATAAATTTAAATTTAAATCAATAAAGTGCGAATAATTGAGCCGATGTCACCTGTCTGCCATGTTATCTTAAGGGACGTCTGTCACTGAACAACACCACTTGCGATTGCGACGTTGCCGCGGCCTAGTTAAAGGCGGCCGTGCTGAGCTAGGAGGATTCTGAGCGCCAGTCGAGTCTTCGTATTCATTGGTTCTCTGGTTGGTAGGTGCCAAATTGGCAAATTGTGCCGGTGCCCGGCCCCAGTGGTAAATGTGGTTTTGGTCGTCGTCGTGGTGTGGTGTGTAATTAAAACAAATTTACTGTAAGTTAATCGTGTTTCTGAATAACATTTAGTTTTGGTACTAAATGTTCTGACAAGATTTGAAATGGATACGATTTTAAACAAATTGATCACTCCAGACACTAATGTCCTTGCTGAGGTAAATGTTAATTTGAGTATAGCAAACCATTAAATTAAGAGTTAAAACCAATCTTTAGGTTATGTTACCCATAGGACAGGCTAAGGCTTATCTTCCGGTCCACTTATCATACAAGACACCCTTAAATTGGATTGTGTCTAGTTAGTCATGCATTTGTATCAAGAAATCATTTAAGAATGACCAGTTTGATTGTATTTAACAATTTAAAGTATTAAGTTTATGTGCCTTTTTCTAAGATAGGCCTAGGCCTAAGTGTAGTCAAAGTAACTTCACACTTTAGGCCTAACTGATATTACCATTGCGGTAATAAAAATATCTAAGTTAGATAGACAGCCAAAGTGTTAAACCAGATAGATTATGCGTCAAGCTTGCCAGAGTAGTTTATCTCCTTTAGGAAACTTGTGTTGGCTAGACTTGTAGGTCGATGTTCCAAAGCGATTAAGGGAAGATTTTATTCTTGATTTTCCTCTTAATTTTGACCCAAGGAATCACTACGTAAATTAGGCTCTGCCCCCACCTTTTTTGAACACCCTGTTTTAGGTAAAGCACCCTGAAAGTTTTTTAACCAAGTTTTATAGTTTTTCAATACAAAAACTAGGCCTAATTTTTCAAATTCAATTTTAGAAACACTTAAAAAAATTTTGTTTTTAAGAAGTTAAGTTAACTTAATTACCTAATTAAGTTAAGTACAATTGATTAAACTTATTAAGTTATTGCATAAGTTATAGGCCTAACTTAAGTTATGAGCTTTTAGTACAAACATTCTTCTACAAAACAAAATAAATAATTGAGGTTCTTACAAGGGAAGTTGTGACATTTTAAAAATAATTTTGTAAAAGATCACATTTTTTCGCCTGGCAGTACACACAGTGGCCAAATACTAAATACAGTAGTGCTGGCAGCAGGGTGACCACCACTGCTATATTCGCTTGGCAATTTCACCATGGAAAATAAGACATAAGACGTTTATTTGTCATTTTTACATGCATGGACAAGTCAAGTTGTTTTCATACAATTGTATGCGTCACATATTCAATGAATAGGCTACCTAAGTAAGCCTACAAAATAACAAAACTACCTGGCAGCCAAAGTGTTAAACCAGATAGATTATGCGTCAAGCTTGCCAGAGTAGTTTATCTCCTTTAGGAAACTTGTGTTGGTTAACTTACCTATCTCTAAACTATATTTGGGCACAGTATAACTTAAGTTACCATGCTCTCAAAGCCACGTGAGCTATGGCATCGCACTCTGGGGCCATAGGCTTATAGCTGCAGCACTCAAAATCTAGCTCCTTCAGAAGATGGGTTTGAGGGTTCACCGGGAACCGTGACCACTGTGTAGCCTATATATCTTAAAGTTCTGACCATCTAGGCCTCTAAGTTAGTGAAAATAAATAATCTACACAATTTCTTACAATTGTACAAGCTGTCAATAATTTAAGTTTTAACTGATTTTCAGGGTACTAATGACCTCCGAGAAGCATTCAAGAGCCCTGATGCAGTTCCTAGTTTGTGTTCTGTCATTGGTTCATCTCCCAACATGCAGATACGAAAGCTAGCTGCAGTAATATTGAGGAAAAAACTTGCAAAACACCGCTATTGGCTGAAACTGCCAACAGAAACAAGGCAGTTGTAAGCTTGATTTATATTTCCTACCTTTTTCTTTAGAGGCTTATTGGAAAACCTAATTAAGAACTCAATAGTTATCATAGAGATATAAAATAACTAGGTAAAAAACATATTAAGTGTTTTAGCTAACATAACAACTCAAGAGCCATTTTAAGAAAAACCTTTTTTTGAGCAAAATGGTTTAAGTTAGGTTACCTGGCTTCGTCAAGTGATATTTTAGTTGTACACTACTATAGGCCTAGTTTCAGACTATAGGGTGAGTCCATCTTAAGGTGTAACAAAGACAAATCAGGTCACCTATCCGATTTGGCTAAATCTGTCCTTGACATGAGAGCACACGATTAAAACACAAAAAACGAAAATAATGCTGTAAAACCTTGCCAGTACGTGTGGCGACGCCAGAAGATGAGTCATGACTAATATTATCATGACGAAGACAGGTAACTTAAACCATTTAGCCAGTTCAGCCAAAATTATGTGATCCAGAGGCTGCTATACCAAAATTTTTTTTTAATCGCCTACGCCTGTAGCATTTTTCAAGCAGTTACAGAGGGTGGATACACAAATGCTTTTTGGGGAGTAGTTAATTTATTTAAGATTATTTTATTAGTTTCTCATAAAAAAACTGTTCTTAACAGCTTAAAACCATTTTGGTTAAGAACCCCACCTAATATTTAAGGTTTTACACATTATTAGTTTGAAAAATAACTGTTTACTGGCACATACCGCACAACAGTTTCAATAATAGCAAAGCTATAAATCAGATCACATTGTTAAACAAGGAGACTATATTATCTTATATCTTATTGTAATACAATTTTGGAAAAGTTATTTGTTTCATATTAGATCTTATTTGCCAGTAAATCTGAAGTACTTTAAGTAGGTATCTTCACAAAAAAGTTATCAGTTTATTAATTAATGTGTGGTAGGCTTTTGATGCAGTTCCTAAATATTGAACTACGGTAATATATTTTCACAGTGTAAAGCAAGGGTTGATGCAATCATTTATAAACGACACAGAAAAACAAGTTAAAACGGCAATCGGTCAGGTGATTGGTGTTTTGGCAAAACACGAATTCCCAGAAAATGGTTGGCCAGAGTTGATGCAATTCCTTCAGCAGAAAACCCAAAGCGAGAATATCAACGATAAAGAGGTAAGGAAAACAATAATAGAAAGCAATATTTAACAACTCAATTCATAAATGTGTTGACTACCAATTCCAATGTAAAAAAGAATATTTCAAGTTACCAAGTATGGATTGGTTGATTATTTTTCTCTATGTCCCTTTAAAGTAAAGATTTTAAATTAATGTTAGGTCTAACATCCTTGAAGGCATATAACTTATCAAATTTGTTTTTGCTCGTAAAATGTGTTTACATATTTAATTGGTAGTAGGTCTATTGATTTGAAAAAAAAACCACACATTGATGCGTATAACTTGAATCAATTAAATAAAAGTGTACCTTCAAAAAATATGTCCTTTTTTAAGCGATTAGCAACTTTCGAACATGGTTTTACCCAAACTAGATGGCCTTACAAGTGATTCACCACGTATCACACTCACAAACATCCATCTTTTTTACATTTATAATATTAGTAACTTTGGTCTAAGACAACATTTTCAACTAAGATGTAGGCTAACAAAACTCATGTACATTTTCAGCTCGGGTTTTTCCTTCTTTGCATCTTGACGGACATAGCAGCAGACCAGTTCCTAGCGCACGCTCACTCTTTCGCTACTCTGTTCGCCTCGACTCTTGGCAGCCTGCAGGACATCGGGGGAAACCTGGCATGGCTCACTGTGCTCTGCATGACCAACTTTGTGCCGGCCATCCAAGGAGACCAGCATGTAGGCCTGACTCTCTGTACTATTATTACCATTATTTACCCAATGAGATGGAGACACAACTAGACGTACCGTATTTCAATCCAAATATCAATGAGGAATGAGTGTAGAATATAGTGAGATGCCTTGTGTAGCTTTGTTAGTGACATAAGACCGACGGTTTGTTTAGTTAGAACCATTTAAAGTTGGAAGATTAAGGACAGTTGGGCCCAGTTAGGCTACAAATTATCAAAAGGTAAGGTACTGACTTTTCACCGGATCAAACTGGTGAGTGGTGACCTTATGGTTACTTGGCAAGCACTATGTGCAACTAACTTACTAATCTATTATAAACGATTTGTTTGGCAAAAAGTAGACCTTTATTCCATCCTGCATATCATACAGATACCAGAGAATATCTTAGTAAAATCTTATACTTTGATATCTCTAAAGTTAAATTATAGTTCTGTAACTTATTTCTGTAAATCTTAATTTTAACATCACAGTTTCACAAATTTTATAGTCAACAAAAGTTCAGTGTGAGTTTTAGGGCAATTTATTCCTTCAGAACCAGTTCATGATGGTTTCAATTTGGCTTTTTAAAATATTTTTCTCTGATCATAAATCATAAAAATGTAAATAAACTTGGCCAATTTAGCAATACACTACAGTCAAAGGGCAAAGTGCATAGGCTTCCACATCTTGAGTGCGTTTTGAATGTAGGCTATTCTCTAATCAGTGTTGTCTTGTTGCCAGTGTGAACAGAGCCCTTTATTGTAGGATTTTTTAAATAATTTTCTGTGCTCTCTGATCTTTTGCTTATCTGATCTTGTCGCTGCCAAAGTAGATAGGATAGTTGAGACTACCATATTTGAACTTAGTTGTCTCTTTTACACTGTAAGAACAAATTCCCTACAACGTTGTTATTTAGGCTGAGTGGTATTGTGGACACATTTCATCACGATTCGCAAAAACTAGTTGTCCAATGTTCCCATCCTTAGTTGAGAAGGTACTTTATACTTGAAAAGATAAAACCAAACCAGCCCAATCTAAAATAATTCCACAGATAACTGTATGGTAGTCAAAACAAAAACAAAATACTGAAAGAAAAAATAGTGTCTGAAAAATGTGTATTGTTTGTAGATGGTGAACACCTACCACGCCTTGATCCCTACAGTGATGGCAGTAGTGCAGGGGATGGCACCCAAGCGTTCCGACCACGCCATCGAGGTGTTGTGCCTCATCGACGAGTTGTGTGATGAGGCAGTGGTCGTGTTGGTGCCTCATCTCCGTCTCATTATTGAAACGTGCTTGCAACTTGCCCACAACCCTTCCTACGACAACGACTTGCAGATAAAAGCCCTCAACATCGTTGGCATGTTGGTGCAGAGTAAGAAGAAGGTATTCAATAAATTTTTTTATCTCCATAGGATTTTGTTGTTTGGATATTATGAAATTCCAAGTATTACTGGAATTTTTTATTTAAATACCTTTGCTAACTTTTTACCTTCACTTAGTCAATCTCTAAAGGCGTGATTCAAAGTACTGCATTAGGACGTGTTTTTATTATATAACAGAGCTAAAGGAGCCAACTGGGAAAATATTTATTCTACAAAGGTTCATGTAACAGAAGTACCATCGACAAAGATTTTGTTCTGTAGGGGCTCAAGCTTACTCTTGAGATTTTTAAATCTTGTTGCTTTAGCTGCTTCAAAATAAAGATCAAGCTGTTTATCATAAGGATGATCCAAACAGTTCTACGCCTAGAAATTAGGGATATGTATATTCTCGAACACCGATTATTCAACATTGATACCCCTATTGAGGATTGATTGTCAAGAGTCGACACCAATACTCAACTGTCTGTGAAGATCCCTAGACTGAAAATTCACGCTTTTGCCATGATTACGGATGGCGATGATAACATTTCTGTGACCGCAAGAGACGATTGATGATTTCTACACAAGCACAGGATGTGATAATAATTTTGCTGCTGTCGCTTAAGACATTAATAATATCAACATGACCGGAGGAGATGTTATGATTTTGCTGCGATTGCGGAGGACGATGATGATGTTCTTGTGAATGCAGTAGATGTTCAATATTTTGCCGCGATTGTGGGGATAACGAAAATAACTTTTTTGTGTTTGAGGGAGACGATACTAATGTCCACACGGTCACAGGAAATGATTAGAATTTTGCCGTTATCACAGGAGGCAAGTAGGATGCCTACACTACTGCGGGAGGTGATAAAAATTTTGTTGAGATTGCAGAAGATGATTATGCTTTTTCCATGACCACAGGAGGTATTCACAGTATTACCTTGAGCAACCTTGATAAAAAATCTCAGGCTTGCACACATCTAGTTACAAACAAACTATTTTCTTTTTGATATTTATTTGTAAGATCATCCTTTAAATTTGAAATGGTATTTATTTCATGTATTTGAAAGTATTTAGATTGAATTAATTTTGAATTGGCTTGGTAAAATTTTTAATGCTGCTTTATTTTTTTTATTTATTTATTTTTTACTTCAAAAACACTTCACACTACCCCAACAATACTATGCGAAGCGAATGACAGAAAGACATAGCATGTAACAGGAAAAGGGTTACTGAAACCGTAGTATTTCTGGGAAGGGGAGGACTGAGACAAATTTTTAAAACTAAAAAAAGTCTTTTCAACAGGATTATAGGCAGTTATTTGTTTGCAGCAAATTGTGAAGCTGAAATTGGTTGAGCCAATTTTAGATGTGGTGTTTGCACTTATGTGTATCGCGACAGAAGATGAAGAAGAGTACCCAGATATGGAGTCGAGCACTCCAACCACAGTTGCGAGTCAGACATTAGATCTGCTGGCTTTGCACCTGCCTCCTGATAAGCTACTGCCCACACTGGTAAGTACAGCATCAATTTAGAGTTCACTGCAAGAAAATTGCCTATGAGAGCTTTATACAAAGTCGCCATTGAAAAGTTGTTTCTTTTCAACACAAATTTGATTTTTCCTTCACTAATTTGCTTAAATTTAGCCTACCCATCGAGTTTCAATACAAATCTCCACTAAATTTGTTCAAGTTTTACTAAAAAATTTTGTACTGTGTATTCTAATTATTCTTACAAATTAAATTAAGTAACCCACCTGATAGCGACTTAGTCCAGGAACAGGCTTCCATCTCACAAGCTTATCTTGAGTGTTTTTTGTCCAACATTCCTTTCCCTTTCCGTGACCCCCATAGTTATTTATTTTGTCACTCTTTGTTTTTAAGTATTGTATTTTTATTTTGTGAAATTAGTAAGGTTTAGACTGTTTTTCACTGAAATGACTAAAAGTGTATGCTTATTATTATTTTGTTTTATTTATATTTTATTTGATAAACTTTTTAACTTAGGATTTAAAAATTGAGATTTTTCTGTACAAAATCAATAATTTAAGTATTTGCCTACATTATTGCCCTATAGTCTTTATTATAAATAGACGCATTTGAAGCTTAATTGCTTGTTTTTGATTCAGTATTTAAAACATTAGCTAAGTTTATACACTCTGCAATAGAAATTTTCCTAATGTACAATAAGTTAAAGTTAAGGTATTGATTGGTTTTAGCATTTTTCAGATGCAGAAGTATCTAAAGCCGAATGTCCAATGTCAGAACCCTTCTGTAAAAAAAATAAGCAATACGCACTATAACACAAATCTTCCTAATTTACATACAAAGTTAAAGTGCGGTAATTGACCACCTATTGCAATTTGCTCTCCTGAATAAAGAGTCCCAGCAGGTCAATAGAACACATAGAAAATACACATTAAACTGATATTTCGGGCTTCTTCATAGGTAGAAGGTTGAATGGCAGTTACAGTTTTGGCAGTTACAGTTCTAGAACCAGAACTGTAACTGCCATTCTACCTTCTACCTCTGAAGAAGTCCCTGAAAGGGGCAAAATATCAGTTTAATGTGTACTTTCTATTTGTTCTATTGACCTCCTGGGACTCTTTATTCAGGTGAGTTAGTTGTGTATCCTTCCTTTCTTCTTAATAATTATTCCAAAGCCAAGTTGCTTTTTTCCATTAAAAAACTATCAGAATTTGATAATTTAATTTTGCAGATGCAGAAGTACATTGAGCCAAGTGTGCAGCATCAGAATCCGTCAGTACGCAACGCTGCGTACATGGCCATGGCGCTGGTGTCGGAGGGCTGCTCGGAGTATATCAGGCAGAAGTACATCAAGATGTTCATAGATCAGGTGCTGAAAGGTCTACAAGACCCAGCGACTTCAGTACAGAATGCAGCACTCTTCGCCGTGGGACAGTTCTCTGAGTTTCTGCAGGTAAAGTATTGTTAGGTTTCCCTTTCTTTGGCCTTTAATGACAGATTTTCAATCAAATTAACGGTAAACTGAAGAAGTTAGAAATAGCAAAGATAATGAACGTGTTAGAATAATTTAGCATCCCATTCGACCCTTCCATACATAACATGTCCATTCTATAGTGTTCTAAAGTTTTCGGCTGGCCTCAACTGCATTGGGTTTTAACACCAGTTTATTTTGTGGCCAACCTATAGTAAACAGTGAAAAACTTAAATTGTTAAGCACTTTTCCTGATGATGATTGGTGATTGGAGTGTTCAATTCAATCAAAATAGAACACCACCTATCATATTTTCCATGTATTATCGTGTTGTGAGTTAACAGTATAAGTGAAAATAAATGTTAAAAGTATTATTAGAAAAATCTGTTTACTTTCCGTAAATTTGATAACATGTACAATGCTGATCATGAAGTTATTCAGTTTTACTTTTAGTCTGTCTTCACTACAGCTTGCTAATGTTAACATCTGTTTTTCTAACAGCCAGACATCAGTGTACATGCCACGCAGCTTGTTCCCTTCCTGCTCGAACACCTTCAGGCCGTGTCCAAGAAAGGCGAAGAACCTTCTCAGAAGGTGGAGAAAATGTTTTACGCATTGGACACGTTTTGTGAGAATCTAGACTCGGGCCTGCTGCAGTTTCTGCCGATGTTGATGACTTATTTGATCCCCCTGCTGTCTCCACCTCACCCTGTACATTTGCGAGAGCTAGCCATCTGCACTGTCGGGTCATGTGGTGAGTTTTAATATAAGATTTAGATGTTGCATTGTGACACAGGGATCCCATAAATTCCCTGCGCCTGGGACGTTTCCCATTATAAGGTACTTTTGTAAGTGCAGTGGGGAGAAGTAGGACGCTCGTCAGTCAGTGGAGTGCCTCAGTTGGAGTCAGTTGGGAGTTAGGGGCTTAGCTAGATCAGTACCCATAGGTAGATAATTAGTTGCATTAATGCTTTTTTAAATTTTCAAAAAAGTCATTGGCCTTTACTCAACTACCCCAGAGAAAGTTGCTCGAGGTAGGATTTTTAGACTTATTATCCTAGCGAGTAGCCCTAGAGTGTGACAGTATGAATTAGGTTGCAAATCCTTCAACTGTCTCCTGTCAACATTAGAAACAAAATTAAGCTTGAACAAGTTCAAACCAGATCTGAAAAACTTTCTCATTGACCTCTCGTTTTACAACATCAAAGAATAATATGACCTAACCCAACCTAATCTAGATCCAACCTAACCAAGCTCACCTTAAATCATCGACCCTAAAACCACCCTGACGAACCCTAGTCATAAGGGGAGTGGCGGTAAATAGTATGTAGGGCCTAAGTATATTGATGAGAGTGAGGAATAATTGCTCTCTAAGTTGCACGATTGGCACAATCGGTCCCTGAGGTCCCAGGTTCAAATCCCGCCATATCACTGATATCTAACTGATAATGCCGCAACCCCCAGGTCTAGTCTGAAGTAATGTGAAAAACAATACCGGGCTTGTGTCTAGCGTCCTAGAAAAAAAAGCCGATTGGCACAATAAAACTTTGTAAGTGCCAGAGTACAGTAGGACCTGGATTATCCAAGGTAATTTGGGGGTAGGGAGTGAACTTGGATGATTGAAAACGACGGCTGATTACCATGGTCATTGTTTGAATTCAACCATTGGGATATTTTCAAATTACAACCGTTACGGTCTAGGTGTTTAGTTCAGATAATGTAATAGAAAAAAACTCAAACAATCTAAATTTTAGTTTGCTCAGTTCATGAGTCATAATAAGCTAAAGTTTGAGAACTTAAAAAAACCTTTTGAGATACACTATGTCAGATTGTTACAGTACAGTTGTGGTTAATGAATGTCTGTCTCTACAGCCAGTGCTGCCAAAGAAGGTATGATGCCTTACTTCCAGAGTGTGATGGAAAGTCTGCGTATATATCTGACGGAACTTCAGCCTCAAGAAACCATGTGTTTGCAAGTCCAGTCTGTCGGTAAGAAATTAAGTAATTAAGAATCCATTATAGCCCCAGGACAGTAATAAATATGACTAATGTAGACAATTTACCTTGTTTTGACAAGTGTGAGAATGCTCACCATCGTCTGAGAACTGATAAACATCGGAGATATTCACGATTTCAATGTGATCGCGGTATATTTGTGTCATGATTTTGTGGAAATCTGGAAAATAAGTGGAATAATTTATAATAAATCAATGTCTTCATGAATGTGCGACGGGAACAGCAATTGGTGATCTACAACTTGTAAAAACCATGAGTCATATTAAGTTGTTTTTTATGCAGCAAGTGACAAAATAAAAAATAACCATTACTGAAATTTTATATTTTATACATTTTCAGTAGGCCTACTGTAGTTAACACCATTCCCACAAGTTCCCGCTCCACTACACCACACGTACATAGTTATTACAAGGCCATCTAAAACACTAATATTGACTTGTTCTTTTTTTGTTGTCTTACCAAGTGGTGTTAACTTAAGTGGCCAGTCTTGACCTACCCCAAAAAAACCTGAGTTATAAATTATTAAGGTTAAGATTGTCGTCATCCCTTTAAATTTCTCATTTATATGAGTACTAAAATTACTATGCTATTGCTGGAAAAGAATTATTATTTACTGGCCAGTAGATGCAAATTCTCTTACAATCATCATTTCACACCTATTTTCTCATCTTCATCGGACTCTCATTGGGAACGTTCTACACATCAAACCACAAGCCTAAGGCCCGCACCACAAGTGAAGCCTGCAGGGGGGGGCCACCAGTTGACCGACAAGATACTTGGTCGTCTTGCCACTAGACCGTCTTTTTTAATTAAATAGATAATTACTGAAAACCAGTACGTCGACAAGTTATTTCATCGTCAGTCCAGTTGACCGGCCTGTAAATCTAAATTATTATACACGAGAAACCAACTTGTCGTCAATCCTCCCGACCGACTTACCACTTGCTCGTCTTTTAGGTGGGGATGTGTTGAGCGGCAGTGCCAGCGGCGCGCGCAGCTGTGGAGGGCCCTGCAGGCGTACCAACTTCTGTATCTTGTAGCGGCGGTTTTCATTCCGACGATTTTCAGCTATCACAATGCAGCGGACTAGTGAGGTTTTTATTACGTGTAATTGTTTGTTTCTCAATCGATATTTTGTTATACACAGTACAGTGAATATAAATAGGCCTATATTAGTTTACTTCAATGAAATAAATGTTTTATTTAACTAAATAAATAAAAATACGCCGATTGAACAAATAAAATTGTTACAGACAACAGGAAGTCCTTAATATGATCAAAAAAGTGTTTATCTTTATTAAAAAATTACTGAAATTTGTAAACTTACTGCTGGCGACAAGGGTGGTGCCATGCATAGGTTTATCAATAAATAAGATAAACATGGACAACCTTATGCAGCTATAAGTCAGGAAACATTTGTAGAAACATTAAAATGCAATACCAATTTATGAAATATGATAAAATATTTACAGGAAATGTTGATTACTGTATATACATCGTGAGTATCTCCAGCAGTTACACACTGGTGATCTTTGAGTTGACTCTTTTAAACTCATTGAATATTACTTTTTTTCGTTTTGAAATAAATTCTGTAATACTTTGAAATTGCTCGAATTTGAGCAACATGTACACGAGTTTGTATATTAAATTAACTAACATATTTATGTAATAGGAGGGTCAAATATTGTGAACAGTGGTGAGGTAACTACCGTTACATTTATTCAATTGAGAGATAAATACAAATTGATAATACCGGTTATTTAAAGCTTTGTTGTCTATTTTTCCCTCTCTTAAAAAAATAAAATAAAGAATGAATTTAGACTTTTGGTGACATTAGTTTGTACTATTTCTCCTTAAATGACACTGCTGTCTTGGTAAGCAATAGTTATCTCGGTAAACTATTTATTTGCTGAAGTGCACAGTGTGCTACTTAGCCTGAGAAACATCTTTTGTTTTATGATTTTGTTGTAGGCCTATTGAAAACCTTGTCTAGAAGGAATTCCCATTGCCTGTGTTACCGGGGAGAAGTTTTTCTTAGTAAAGTCTGTAGACGTCTTCGGTTTTACACAGAAACATGTAATTATAATTGAAGAAGTACATGTTTTATCCTCTCACGTTGTTGCATGGACAATACTATGGTGATTCAATTCTGTGTACTTCAATTGTCTAACTGGCCCTAACTGACGCATCCTTGTTCTTTTTTTTACTAAATAATGTAGTCTTTACTTCCGTAGATCTTTGCGTTTTATTGTGTAACTGTCCTCAAGTAAGTCTGTGTTCTGAGTAAGTACTTCAAACGCACGGCACTACTGTATATTCAGATTTTCTAATGAACTAATATAAGGATAAAAGGAGTATAGACATGTATGTATGACAGAGTATGTCTACTCCTTTTATCTATGGTACTATTTCCAAGTTCATCTGGACGACCCTGCAAATCGTTTCTAGTAAAAAAAAATATTTGGTTTATGTTTATGAACTTGTATGAGTGTTGTTAACTAAAGCTAAATTCACATCAAATTAATTAATTTAATTTATTTTAATAGTTTTCTAATTAATTTCAGTTTTAAGAACATATAGTAAATAAATCCTTGTTGAAACGGCTGTACTATCCATGCACTTATTGTCAAACTATATGTTCAAAGATTCCTGGACGGCAATGTTATAATACTAGTTGGAGCAGAGGTACTGGATCTAGGGTTAATACAGTTTTGTGACGTAAGGTATATCATTGCAGAAGTAGTTAGCTCAAGAATTATGACGCGGATGACAAAGATTGGTAGTTTTTGCTATAATAATAAAAAAAAATATCAAACCCCAAGTACATAAAATCATTCACAGTTTTTTTTCACAGTCTATTGAATAGCCTGCAGTTAAGTTCACTCTAATGAAGAATATAGACGTGGCCAGAGTTCCAAACTATTTAAGTAACAACTGTTTACATGAACTATCCTAGTGTGCAATGTACTTATTGAATTTTCATTAGTAATATATCATGGCTATATCGTTTATGTAAAAGTATCAAAAGATAGTAAAACGAAAACGAAACCATCAACCAAGACCAGTGACCGAAACAAGTGTCGAGCTGGCGGCGCCGCGCCTACCTCGGGATTCCCCGAGGGCATTAATTCATCTTTGAAGTAACACCGGTAACACTGACTCACTGGCCGACACGGATACCCGCCTACCACCCCCTTTGTGTCGTCACCCTATGACCACCGGTCGGTCAGCCACCCATCCAAGGAAACTCTAGACATCGGCGGCTCTTTGTCGTTCGTTGACCAGCGTATTTTCTAGAGTTGAATGTATACCCTCACTCACACCAGGGAATAAGTAAACTGTAGTAGTTTTCTTGTTTATGAAAATATTTGCATCAAATTAGAAAAAAATCATTTATTTATTTATAAAATGTTATTATTTTACACAAAAAAACACACTTTTACCCTCCCTGTTGCAGCAAACCTAAGTACTTGTTAAACTTATTCTATTTAAATATGGAATAACTGTGATATTTTCAAGAAGTCATTTTAGTGTAAATCCAATCAGGCAAATAGAAATTTGCTTAGTCTGCAGGTTTGTTGCGGTGGGGGTATATTTCGTCATAAACTCTTTTTCCACTTAAGAGTCTTCAATAGTAAAGTGGCAACTAAAACGCGACTCCAGCGACCCAATTCTGGCGGCGCTCTAGAACTACCCGAAGGCCTTTTCCGGTATTACGCGTGCCGCATCACACAAGTAGTTTTCCCGCGCCCCTATTCAAACGCTTGTAGGCGAAGAAAAAGAAAGCGAGTTGACGACCGAGGCTAGGTCGACCCGATCGACTTCGACAGCTGTTTTACTGTCTCTCTCCCTCTCTCTCTCTCTCTCTCTGTCTTTGGATGTGTAGGGTTGGCGAGGGTTGTAAAATTGCTGAAAGTGAAAGGGACGTGGCTGGCGCTACGTTCCTAGTTTTTGGCCTCTTGATGCTAACACTGGGTCGGCTACTCGAGATCAAACAACAGCGTGTGTTTAGTACAAAATTGGGTCCACAGTCACATCTATCTATATCTATACTTATTTAATACGCAAGCAGGATTTTTGTGACAATTACTCATCCGAAACTAATGAACCGATTGACATGTTTTTGGTGTCATTGGAAAGAGCGTAACGTGAAGTTGTGCAGGAAACTTTCTTTTTAGGTAAATAATTAGAGAGTGAGGCCCTGGGACCCTTTAAAGTTTCGTATTTCTCCATAAGATTAACATGGGAAACCAACATTGTTTTGAAACTCCAACTGTTGTCAGGAATTAAATATTAATAATTAATTGCTCCCCATGGAAGCATGAGAGTTCTGTAGAGTTTAAAGTAGCCTACACCTTATTGTCTACAAATTGGCTAAATAACTTAGGTACAGTACATTATAAAAGCTGACAGACTTTTTATGTTGACTTAAATTGTAAGCTTACCATTTCCCGTCCATGGGCAGTTTGATAGTTAAAAAATAACCCTTTAAACTGGAATAGGACTGTTATGTAAATTGTGAGTATTTCCATTAGTTAATAATCTTTTAGTTGACTCTTTTAAAATCATCGGAAATTATGACTGTTATTAGTTTTTTAACAAGTCATTTGTTTATATGTAACTCCTGTACTTCTTTGCAATTGCTCGATTTCGAGCAACATGTACACTAGTTAACCTATAATTTTATACAATAGCTAAAATATTCCACATTCCAACCAAATTTCTGGCCGAAAGTAGTTTTTAATTGCATTTTAATTGAATGATTTGTAACGAATCGAATTGAACCATAATTGTGGTTAATACTAGGGACTAACAATTAAGGGACACTAGGTTCTAAATACTACAAGTGCAGAAGGGCACGGTACCCATTCGAGCCGTGTCCATATTTTGTTAAATTAATAGTAGTTTACAGCAACTGGATAAACATTTTACAATATTTATGCAGAAATATGTGCATGATTTAGAAAGTCATT